GAATGGTGGCTATATTGGTTGGTGTTGTGTGATGTACTTCTGAACAGGAATGGTGGCTATATTGGTTGGTGTTGTCTGATGTACTTCTGAACAGGAATGGTGGCTATATTAGTTGGTGTTGTGGGATGTACTTCTCACCAGGAATGGTAGCTATATTGGTTTGTGTTGTCTGATGTACTTCTGAACAGGAATGGTAGCTATATTGGTTAGTGTTGTCTGATATACTTCTGAACAGGAATGGTAGTTATATTGGTTGGTGTGGTTTGATGTACTTCTGAACAGGAATGGTTGCTATATGAGTTGATGTTGTCTGATGTACCTCTGAACATGAATGGTGGCTATATTGGTTGGTGTTGGGTGATGTACTATTGAACAGGAATGGTGGCTATATTGGTTGGTGTTGTCTGATGTACTTCTGAACAGGAATGGTGGCTGTATTGGTTGGTGTTGTCTGATATACTTCTGAACAGGAATGGAAGCTATATTGGTTGGTGTTGTGTGATGTACTTCTGAACAGGAATGGTGGCTATATTGGTTGGTGTTGTCTGATGTACTTCTGAACAGGAATGGTGGCTATATTTGTTGGTGTTGTGGGATGTACTTCTGACCAGGAATGGTAGCTATATTGGTTGGTGTTGTCTGATGTACTTCTGAACAGGAATGGTAGCTATATTGGTTGGTGTTGTCTGATGTACTTCTGAACAGGACTGGTGGCTATATTGGTTGGTGTTGTCTGATATACTTCTGAACAGGAATGGAAGCTATATTGGTTGGTGTTGTGTGATGTACTTCTGAACAGGAATGGTGGCTATATTGGTTGGTGTTGTCTGATGAATTTCTGAACAGGAATGGTGGCTATATTGGTTGGTGTTGTCTGATATACGTCTGAACAGGAATGGTGGCTATATTGGTTGGTGTTGTGGGATGTACTTCTGAACAGGAATGGTAGCTATATTGGTTGGTGTGGTCTGATGTACTTCTTAACAAGAATGGTAGCTATATTGGTTGGTGTTGTCTGATGTACTTCTGAACAGGAATGGTGGCTATATTGGTTGGTGTTGTCTGATATACTTCTGAACAGGAATGGTAGCTATATTGGCTGATGTTGTCTGATGTACTTCTGAACAGAAATGGTAGCTTTATTGGCTGGTGTAGTCTAATGAACTTTTGAACAGCAGTTATAGTTATATTGATTGGCATTGTTATATCCACTTCTGAACATCAATTATTTCAGATAAAACAAGAAATGATTGTAACAGGATGCTGTTACGAAGTCTCCCAAATGAAGCTCCCATAATTCGTAATTCCCAGGGTCGCCTGACATTGGGCAACGTCCAGTGAAAATTGGTTTGGTCCAGTAAAGTTATATGCATTAGTGATGCCTGGGGACTAACCTTGTATATCATTCAAATCATCTTGGCATGACAAACCAGAATATATATGGTTTAGGGGTGGGGATCTCGACCATTTACAAGATATTAGAACTTTCTCAAATGGCAAGGGGTGGGGGTGACCGCTGGGGACTAACCCTGTATAACATTTGATGTGCTTTATCATGACAAACCAGAATATATATGGTTTAGGGGTGGGGATCTCGACCATTTACAAGATATTAGAATTTTCTCAAATGGCAGGGGGTCGGGATGACCCCTGGGGACTTACCCTGTATATCATTCAAACCATCTCAGCATGACAAACCAGAATATATATGGTTTAGGGGTGGGGATCTTGACCACTTAGAAGATATTAGAACTTTCTTAAATGGCAGGGGGAGGGGGTGACCCCTGGGGACTTACCCTGTATAACATTTGATGTGCTTTATCATGACAAACCAGATTATATATGGTTTAGGGGTGGGGATCTCGACCATTTACAAGATATTAGAACTTTCTAAAATGGCAGGGGGTCGGGATGACCCCTGGGGACTAACCCTGTATATCATTCAAACCATCTTAGCATGACAAACCCGAATATATATGGTTTAGGGGTGGGGATCTTGACAACTTAGAAGATATTAGAACTTTCTTAAATGGCAGGGGGTGGGGGTGACCCCTGGGGACTAACCCTGTATTACATTTGATGTACTTTATCATGACAAATAGGAATATATATGGTTTAGGGGTAGGGATCTCAACCATTTACAAGATATTAGAACTTTCTCAAATGGCAGGGGGTCGGGATGACCCCTGGGGACTAACCCTGTCTATCATTCAAACCATCTTCGCATGACAAACCAGAATATATATGGTTTAGGGGTGGGGATCTTGACCATTTAGAAGATATTAGAACTTTCTTAAATGGCAGGGGGTGGGGGTGACCCCTGGAGACTAACCCTGTATTTCATTTGATGTGCTTTATCATGACAAACCAGAATATATATGGTTTAGGGGTGGGGATCTCGACCATTTACAAGATATTAGAACTTTCTCAAATGGCAAGGGGTGGGGGTGACCGCTGGGGACTAACCCTGTATAACATTTGATGTGCTTTATCATGACAAACCAGAATATATATGGTTTAGGGGTGGGGATCTCGACCATTTACAAGATATTAGAACTTTCTCAAATGGCAGGGGGTTGGGATGACCCCTGGGGACTTACCCTGTATATCATTCAAACCATCTCAGCATGACAAACCAGAATATATATGGTTTAGGGGTGGGGATCTTGACCACTCAGAAGATATTAGAACTTTCTTAAATGGCAGGGGGTGGGGGTGACCCCTGGGGACTTACCCTATATAACATTTGATGTGCTTTATCATGACAAACCAGAATATATATGGTTTAGGGGTGGGGATCTCGACCATTTACAAGATATTAGAACTTTCTAAAATGGCAGGGGGTCGGGATGACCCCTGGGGACTAACCCTGTATATCATTCAAACCATCTTAGCATGACAAACCAGAATATATATGGTTTAGGGGTGGGGATCTTGACCACTTACAAGGTATTAGAACTTTCTTAAATGGCAGGGGGTGGGGGTGACCCCTGGGGACTAACCCTGTATTTCATTTAATGGGCTTCATCATTTAGAACATTTTCAATTAAAAAGTTTGTGTCTATCACGAACGGTTTTCAATTTATAATCATTTGAAAATTTAAAAAAATAAAATCCCATAGGGTTCTATAGTAAAACCCTCTTTTCTTTTTGCCCCTCAAAGTACCCCTTTATAAACCCCATTGCAAAAACAAAACCCTGATTGCACCACTAGACATGTTAGTCTAACATATTGCGAAACCCTAAGTTAATCCGACAAGCGGTTTTGGAGAACGGGTGCGGACAAGTTCAAATTTAAAAGCGGCGGAAGAAGAAGAAGAAGAAGAAGAAGAAGAAGAAGAAGAAGAAGAAGAAGAAGAAGAAGAAGAAGAATAATAATAATAATAAGAACTGAGCAAAAACAATAAGTCTTCCCAAACTTCGTTTGGGAGACTTAATAAACTGTTGACACAGAAATATGTCTCACCTGTATGTAATTCATTGTAAAATGCAAATGTTGATATTAAAATGGTAAAACTGTGAATGTAAACTATGAAAATTATCCCAAGTCAATCTACATGGAAATGATATGCCAATGCTAATACAACTGCATGTTAAATATCATTGACTTACTATAAGTGGTTCCCCTTAAACTGACCTAAAATGTAAAAACAAACATTTACATGTGTAGACTATGCAAAAATTCCAAAATAAATGAACCATGACTAAGGAGGAGGGCCCATGGAAATAAGATGTGCTTATAATAATACAACTACATACCAAATATCATTGACTTACCAATAGCAGTTCCCCTTAAACTGACCTAATCACAAACTTTAACAAATTGTTGACACTGCTGGATACAGTGCACCCAATTCTCATCTTCCCAACTTCAACTAGGGTTAACAAAACAATAAAAAAAAACAGCAAACAATTTTATTATTGAATACAAACAACAACCATGACAATACTTAGAAAAAACAAGAGGTTTACCTGACCCTGTATGGCTCACCTGGTGAAAAAGTCCCAGTCTGCTAGTGAGGACATTTAATTGAACACACAATTTATTTTAGTATTGCTGATCATTTTTGTAGATTAAACTTTTAAACTAGCTCCTCTAGTTTTTGAGATAACTGCCAAAAACTGGGAAAAAAGGTTGTCAGAGTTTATAATTTTTTTAAAGTAGATAGATCTTGCTGATCATTTTGCATTAATTGCTTTTAACGTAGCACATACATATTCAAAACAACAGCTAAAATATGTGAAAATCAGTCAAATTAGACATTTCCAGGGTAACAACAACAAAAATTGCCAGATTTTTCTCCAATTTCCAGGGTAGATGCATCTTGTCATGCTGATTATTTTTAGACTTACTTTTAAACTTAGCTCCTACAGTTTTAAAGATAACAGTCAAAAACTGTTCAAAAAATGAAAATAACGCTTTGTAAATTTTAATGTGTCAGAAGTGCTTTCTTGGATTTACCTTCATCAGGAATGCTCAAAGCCAAATATTTGGTAGCCAAGGATGTATAAGTACCAAAACAAGTGAAAAGCTGTATGACCAAAAGGGACCTTAAAATGATGGCCAAAATCTTAGGTCAAATTTCCCTGAGGGAGTTGTAACCTTAGTTTCTTAATAATTTATAAATTTATAAACTGACAATTTAAGAAATGTTTATTATAAATCATGTCAGTGCTTAGCACTGACTACTGAGCAGATGACACCCTCGTGAACTAAAAGTCCACCAGCAGTGGTATCAACCCAGTATTATCAAAAAAATAAAACTTTGTAAATTCTATGCATCTGAAGTGCTTTTCTGGATTTAACTTCATCAGGAACACTCAAAGCCTAATATAAATTCCTAAAAAAATCCAGGTGAAATAACTTAATATAGGATCTTTAGATTTTCTCAAAATTTTCAGGTAAAAAGAACTTGTAACGATAATCATATTTGCAATTATACTTTTAATCTTTAGTTTTTTAGCTGCAAGAACTGCAAAACATCATTTTAGATGCAATAACTCCAAAAAAGGACAGATGAAGCAGCCAATTTTGATTTTCAATCCATCGAGTGGTTTGTGGGAGAAGATTTTGAAATAAAAACGACAGACAATGGACAACAGACTCAAAGTGATGGCAATAGCTTACCTGGCCAGAAGGCCAAGGTGAGCTAAAAAAAACTACACAGTTCAGTATTGTGTAGTGACTGAATATCATTGAAGTCCCCAGTCTTCAATAGAAAGTCCAAGTTCTTAATTCCATGCTAATTAATGTGTAGAGTTTAATGTTCAAAGCAGTTCTCTCTCAAATTCAAGTGATCCACAAAAGTCATTAGTTCCACATGATTCCAAGTTCTTGCATTTTTTTCATTCGTTGTCGATTATCTTCTCTTTCCTACAAGTACAAAACAATTTTCTTTGTATTATATTTTTAAACATAAAAATTCCACAATTTATTTGATGCTTTTTTTTATGTCTATGCTTTGTCATATACTATCCCATAGGAGGATAATAAAATTATATATATATATAGTAGGACAATATCAATACATCATTCTGTCTCTGTCTCTGTAGAAGGTCTTCGAAGGAACGAACTGGTCAGGCTATGTGTCATAACCAGGCACTGTTTATAATGTATTTTGGCATTACCTACTTTCAATTTGTCTAAGTTTTTTTTCCACTAGTTCACATAATTAATAAGGCTTCAACTAACAAAAGCTCATCCATTAGAGCTATTGTGTTGAGAGACTTCCTTATGTTAGTATTATCTATATTACTTTAACAACAAGTAATTCATACTCAGGTATTTGATACAGGGCTCTAGAGTCTATTAAGCCAATAAAGAATTTCCCTGAACAGTTAAGTTGCACTCTTTATATTAAATCTTTTAATGACAAATCTCTTATTGCTAACAAGAGAGTTTAATGGCAACAGAATACTACAACATCAGCTATTGTCTTTAGTCATATCCTATTGTTGTTTATCAGCTGTTGTCTTTAGTCATATCTTATTGTTGTTTATCACCTGTTGTCTTTAGTCATATCCTATTGTTGTTTATCAGCTGTTGTCTTTAGTCATATCTTATTGTTGTTTATCAGATGTTGTCTTAAGTCATATCCTATTGTTGTTTATCAGCTGTTGTCTTTAGTCATATCCTATTGTTGTTTGTCAGCTGTTGTCTTCAGTCATATCCTATTGTTGTTTATCAGATGTTGTCTTAAGTCATATCCTATTGTTGTTTATCAGCTGTTGTCTTTAGTCATATCCTATTGTTGTTTATCAACTGTTGTCTTTAGTCATATCCTATTATTGTTTATCAACTGTTGTCTTCAGTCATATCCTATTATTGTTTATCAGCTGTTGTCTTTAGTCATATCCTATGTCAGATCTTTGATAGTGTATGTTAGAATTAATCAAAACCTGTTTTGGCATGTTGTATGACACTTTTTTTAAGACCATACATACGTTAACTTCTCTATATCTTTATTTACTGTCTCATTGTACTCAACATCTCCTTTTATTCATATAAAATAAGAATGTTTTCAGGTTCAGGAGCAAATAATTTATTCTGTTGCTGTCACTAAACACACCTATATGTAGCCTTCAGTGACATTCTGTTACTGTCACTAAACACACCTATATGTAGCCTTCAGTGACATTCTGTTACTGTCACTAAACACACCTATATGTAGCCTTCAATGACATTCTGTTGATGTCACTAAACACACCTATATGTAGCCTTCAGTGCATTCTGTTGATGTCACTAAACACACCTATATGTAGCCTTCAGTGACATTCTGTTACTGTCACTAAACACACCTATATGTAGCCTTCAGTGACATTCTGTTGATGTCACTAAACACACCTATATGTAGCCTTCAGTGACATTCTGTTACTATCACTAAACACACCTATATGTAGCCTTCAGTGACATTCTGTTACTGTCACTAAACACACCTATATGTAGCCTTCAGTGCATTCTGTTGATGTCACTAAACACACCTATATGTAGCCTTCAGTGACATTCTGTTACTATCATTAAACACACCTATATGTAGCCTTCAGTGACATTCTGTTGATGTCACTAAACACACCTATATGTAGCTTTCAGTAACAATTTTGTTAGGAGTGACAATAATTGTAGTCATGTAAGATAGAGTATTCCTTTAAGAGACAACAACTGTATTTCTGTAAGATAGCTGAGACAACAACTGCAGTCCTGTAAGGGGAGACAACAATTATGGTCCTGTATTTAGATAGAGTGTTCCTTTAAGAGGAGACAACAACTGTATTTCTGTAAGATAGCTGAGACAACAACTGTAGTCCTGTAAGGGGAGACAACAATTATGGTCCTGTATTAAGATAGAGTATTCCTTTAAGAGGAGACAACTGCAGTCCTGTAAGGGGAGACAAAAATTATGGTCCTGTATTAAGATAGTACATACATAAGTAAGTTCTGCCTGGAGTAGAAGAAGATGTTGTTTCTCCCCTGCTAACATATTTCTCTGGTAGCTCAAAAATGATCTGAAACAAATGAATTTTGTTCTTATCAAATGGAATTATCAAAAAAAATACTGTCTCATTTCATAAAACTAATGACAATTTTAAAAATTAACAAATATGACTGTATTGATAAACCAACTGCAATAAGACTGAACTCTCATTCTCAAATATAACAAACTATATTGATTTAAGTATCTACCATTTTCTGTACATTTTCGTGCTCCCTATAAAACAGACAACAGGTTTTGGGTCATTTAAGAGAGCTAACATTTTCGCAGCTGAGATCTTGCTAGATTAAATTAATGGATTAACATGTCTTATAGACAATCATTAGTTCAGATTAGCAAATTAAATTATTCTCACATTATTAGCTTGCAGCAAGGTGGTAGGTTTTAGCTCCATAATGCTAATAAAACAAAGTGCTTTTCTATAATCTTACATCCTTTGATGATTTTATTATTCAAACATTAGCCTGATGTTTTCATTAAGATTTTAAACATTTAAAGATTGCACAAGGTTTGTCAAATGAGATCAACTGAGTATTCAATACTGTATAATTTTTTTAAACATTTTCGAAATATTTATGGATGATGGTAATAGATAACTTAGAAAAATGGAAGAAGAAGAAACAAGGACTGTTCATGTTTGTTACCTAACCTAAATGTAAGGGCACTTTTATCCATTCACTTAATGTAGCCAGTAAATGTAAGGGCACTTTTATCCATTCACTTAATGTAGCCAGTAAATGTAAGGTACTTTTATCCATTCACTTAATGTAGCCAGTAAATGTAAGGGCACTTTTATCCATTCACTTAATGTAGCCAGTAAATGTAAGGGCACTTTTATCCATTCACTCAATGTAGCGAGTAAATGTAAGGGCACTTTTATCCATTCACTTAATGTAGCCAGTAAATGTAAAATGAAATAATAAAACAAGATTACTTACACAAGGATAAGAAAGAGAGGAATGAGAACTGAATCAGACAATAGCCATTGTAGGATCTCCTTTACTATATCTAGGTTTAGTTGTCTTTTGAACTTTCCATAGGCTTCTGTTGGTTTCTTGTCACTGAATGGACCACAATATTTCCCAGGGACTGAAGTCTGGCCAAGCTGTATAACTTGGTGACTAAAAGAGGAATATTTAAACGATATTAATTAGTACAACAATATAACCTATAGACTCTAATTAAGAATCATTTGCTATTAACATTCATTATGTTTTATATGAAGAGAGAAAGCATGAAATTCTTTACAATGTTATTAAGCAAAGGCAACATATAATAGCCTCATATGGGTTATACAGAACATAATCTCTGGTTTTCAATTACCTGGCAGTACTTCTCTAACCTTGTTTTATTGAATGAACCTTTACAAACATTTTCAACCAGGAATTTCAACTAGATTAACAATAAGCAGTATCACAAGGATTGGATTTAAAACATATATACACTACAATAAACAGCAAAGTTGTCAGCAGCAATGTATATTACATTTCAAACAGCATAAATACTCAAATGAGCTGCAGCTTTCAGAAGGAATACATTATTATCTCACTTACATTCTAACACTAAAACAAGTAAAAGCTTTTCAAAAAGCTTGTTTGATATAAGCAACAATTCTTGTGTAATACTGTAAGTTTAAATGAGTCATAGAAAGCATGCAGTAATATGTTTATGAAAATAATATTTTAATTGTTTGATCTGTTCAACATACAAATAAATCATTTTTTTTATTTGATTACACCTCCTACTTTGATCAAGCAAAATGAATGAACAACAGAGGAAGGTTTGTATGTAGTCATTATACATGCAAACTGAATCGACTTCTCTTTACTGTTTCCAAGTGAGTGAAGGTCTGTAGAGTTTGTGAGTTTGTGAGTTTTAAGTTTTGGAAAAATTGAAAACCCTAATTATCTTCACTGGAATATTGCAATTAACTTTTCCTATAAAATATTTATTTCTTTAAATATTGAACAAGTGCAGATTAAATATATACAACTGTCCTTGTAAGACTTTCTAAGAATTTTGGGTAGCTTTTTTCCAAAGCTAATACTTTTTTTTCTTTTTTCTGCAATATGTATAACAGTACTGTTTATTTTCAATCAAATATTTGATTCCAAATTATTGTTATTTCACCAGCAATACAATCAATGGAGCATTTAAAGTAATGACAGAAATCAAACAAGACACTCTTTTACACATGACTGATAAAAACTGAGTTTTTACTATGCTGGAATTTTTTAGGTCAGGCAATCAACAGCAGAAATATAAGCAAAAATGTATTATCTCCCTTACCTTCCAACAACTACAGATACAGGTGCTATAATAACCACAAGAGTTGTCAGCAGGAATCCCATAATTAATGCTGTGTTACGAGACTGGTTCCATCTCTTGATGGGTGGTTTACATGTATATTTAATTATGGCATAATTCAGGAAAAAGAAGACCAGACTAGACAAGGCACCCAACAGTGGCATCACAGGGCAAGCTATAGTTCCTACCTGTAATGTAAGTTACAGAAGACAGCTTATAATGAGATTATCAAGCTAAAATATTTACATGAAAAAGAATTATCTGAATATAAACAACAGATGCCTGAATCAGTCATCCCATAATCATTTATCATTTTATATTGATACAATATGTGATATTATTCTATTAAAAAGGATATGATGGAGAAATGAGGTTTACACCAATGAGACAGCAACCCAATGAAGTTCAAGAGATTTCAAGATTCATGTTTTTACTTCTATGTTCTATGATATTTTCATTGTAAACAAACACATGTGCAGTCGTGTTGATGGATAATTCCGTAAAATATACCACTGTTAAAACGCTTTAGATTGGACAAAACCTTTGGGGAATCCCAAAATAAACTGATGAAATTCAGTTTATTATTTTCTTTAAAAGTTAATTGTTTGCATTAAATTATGTTGACTTTTACATGTGTTAGTGTTTGCGGAATGTGATTGGATCAATGGCAGATGAATGGGCTTCATTCTTTGAAAAGGGATGACGAAAGTGAAGAATTGGAATGATTTACACAATCCGATATTGACGAAAGCGAAGTTAGAAGTATAGGGATTGATATTAGTTTGTCAGAACTGGATAGAGTCTTCCAAGGATGAAGAACCCAAACTGGATAATAAAACATGGACAAATAATTTTAATAAGTCCCCACCTTTCATTTCCATTTGGGGCAGCTTTTCAGAATCGTAGAATGCATGTTTTATTTTTTTAATTCTATACATTAATTACTGGTTAATTAAACATTTTATTGGAGTATCTCACTGCAAATTATCTCTGGTAGTTAATCTAAGGTGCCTGTGGTAGATAAGAAGTTAATGAAATAACTCCAGTAAACAGTCATCCAATAGTTTCTATCATATAGGCATTTTTTTAGGTCTGGTACTGGTGATCATTATTGTTGTTTAAAGTTTCTACTAATCTATAATACTTTTGAAGAAGATAGTCAAAAACTCAAAAATGAATAAAAAAATAGTTGTATAAAAACAATAACTCTAATCAAGAGACATTCAGTGGTTTTGAACATACTGGACTATTACCTGATGTTCATGGTGTTCGTTTGTTGATGTGGTTCATAAGTGTTTCTCGTTTCTCGTTTTTTATATATACTGACCGACTTTAGAAACGCAACACTAGATTATTCTTTTTAATTCCCATTTTCAAATATTTATTTTTTTATAAACAAACTTATGAACAGAAATTTCTTTCATTACTTCATTGTTTAAAAAAAATTGGCAGTTCGAAAGTTGAATTTATTACGTCATTTTCAATGTTCAAATCATGTGGTATACACTGAAACCCTGGTTTTACCCTTACCAATGAACGTGTCACCGTAAAAAACAATGACTGCCTGTAACAAACACCAAAATGATTGTCAGAATGGTCAACCAACTGTTATCGGTAGGTTTTTGGTACTTTTTTGCACAGTCCGATTTTGACGTTATTCCATCCATTACAATGGGTTTTGGCAATTATACGGTTGAAACTTTAGGGCTTTAAATGTTTTTATGCAGTCGATTCTTTGGCAGTTCAGTTTATGGGAAACATTTATGGCATGAATCTGTGCGCAATGGCATTCGGCAATTTGATTAGCAGTTGACGTTGCGGCCGTAAACATGTCTTGCAAATGACGTTGCGTAATCAAGTTCTATTGACGTTGCATAGTCACTACATGTTGATCTGGTCATTGATGGTCTTCACAAAATCCCGTCTACCGGTATCATTGTCGGAAGGACAGTATGACGAGTTTCTGACGTCAAATTGTCTGGTTGCAGCACGTTCACGTTTTCCTGTTTGCAGTATTCTTATGGGCTGATTCTGTTTTTTAGTCATGGCAATATAGAGATGCAACATTTTGTTACTGATTAAGTGTGGCCAAGGATTGAAAGAACTGTTTCACAAAGAAAAAAAAATGAAAAAATCTTTTATGGGTTCCAAATTTCGCTTTCAGAAATTCGTGCGACTTCAATAATCCGGTATGTTCAATAACCACAGGTAAGTCAGATGTTGATTTTTTCTAAAGATAAAGAAGTATGGTAAGCTTGAATAGTAGTTGTATGAGAATCAAACTTCATTTAGTAGAGAAAATCTACAAAATGAGTGTTGCGTTTTTTAAAGTCAGTCAGTATAGATTAGACCGTTGGTTTTCCTGTTTGAATGGTTTTACATTAGTCATTTTTGGGGCCCTTTATAGCTTGCTGTTCGGTGTGAGCCAAGGCTCCGTGTTGAAGGCCGTACTTTGACCTATAATGGTTTACTTTTACAAATTGTGACTTGGATGGAGAGTTGTCTCATTGGCACTCATACCACATCTTCTTATATCTATTTGTAGGTTTTATATTGTAGATCATTTTTGTTGTTTAGTTTCTACTGATCTATTACAGCATTCAAGATAATAGGCAAAACCACGTAAATTGGCCTAAAATTTCAGTTAAGGGCAGTAACTGTTAAGAGGAAAATTTTGGTGGAAATGGGAAGGAGGTAAATTTTAACATTCTGAGCATTTTTGCCCCATCAGATTTTCTCTATCTATCAATATGGATTTCAAAACATTCGACAACTAATGCATTTAAGCCTTATGTTCTATCTTTAGCCACATGGCCATGTTGGTTGATAGGAACAAAAAGTAATAACTTAATACTAGATACCCTAAAGATGATTCAGTTTAAGTTTGGTTGAAATTGATCAAGTGATTTCAAAGAATTTTTCAAAGAATTTTTTTTTTTTTTTTTTAAAGTTTATGAAGATGACAATAATATTATTATATAGAGGGCATGTAAATAAGAAATGAGCTTCATCTTTAACTGTGTTGAGTGAGCAAAACTTGCATATTCTATCGTGATGAGGTATTACAACCAATTTTCCTAGACTATCCATAATTCTCTCCTAACGACCTCTCTCTATTCTGAGAATATGGTTACTTTAATAGTTATTTAGTCTAAATCTACAATGTGAATCTTTTCTGTTGGTTTTTGATATTAACAAAATTTTCAAAATCATAGTTGAGTTTGAAATTAAAATAGGTTTTTAATTTGCTGTGCTCACCATGAGACATGGAATCTCTTATAGTTTTCCAATGCTTTATAAAATTTGAGGCATTATTTTAGCAACCTCTTAATTTTTTTTCGCTATATTTTTGGCAAACAGAGAGATCAAAATTTAATTTCTTGCTGAAGAATTTAATTGTACTATACCAGGAATTGGTTGTAACTACCTCTCCTGTCTGATATTCATTGAAAGCTGATGTCTATAGTTTTGTGAGTTTACAAGGTGGTGCCAATACATAAACATGTGGGTAACAATATCAATATAAAGAGGGAATCTTCCTAGTTCTGATAAAATTATTTTGTAACACTAAGAATGTATTTACAAAATTCAATATTTAGCTTCTCTTGCTCCCAACCTTTTTCTTTATCAAATAAGGACATGTATTTCCTTTTTTGGGACAGATTTATCATTCCCCAATTTTGATCATATGATCAAAAATATGTAAAATGGTTAGGATAGATGGCACTGCTGATTTTATACTCTTATGAAATTTAAAACTAACTTTGAGTCACTTTTCATGCATTATTTTTTGGCTTCATTGGACTTGCCATTGTTACGCATGACCAGCCCAAGATATATATAAGATTTAACAATATACCCAGACTAATCCCTGTCTGTAGATCAAAACCAATACAGCTGATGAAATATTAAACTCTGATTTCTCTTTGGTCCATTTATACTTTGCTATACTGATCACAGTACTTACAACCGCCTGAAAAGTAAACACAGAACATACAAATCAAATAATGGCAAATATTACTATAACAAAGAGTGCACACGCTGAAATGTCTCGCCTTCTTTACTAATCATTGATATTATGTTGATAGTCCTAAATATAAAGCTTTATTACAACTGTCACATAAACTTAACATTAACCAAGTAAACTAAACATTGACCAATGAACCATGAAAATGAGGTCAAGGTCAGATGAACCATGCTAGGCAGGCATGTACAGCTAACAATTCTTCCATACAACAAATATAGTTGACCTATTGCTTATAGTTTAAGAAAAACAGACGAAAACACAAAAACTTAACACTGAGCAATGAACCTTGAAAATGAGGTCAAGGTCAAATAAAACCTGCGTGACTGACATATAGATCATAAAATATTTCCATACACCAAATATAGTTGAACTATTGCATATAGTATTAGAAAAAAAGACCAAAACTCAAAAACTTAACTTTGACCACTGAACCATGAAAATGAGGTCAAGGTAAGATGACACCTGCCAGCTAGACATGTACACCTTACAATCATTCCATACACCAAATATAGCTGACCTATTGCATGCAGTATTAGAAAAAAAGACCAAAACTCAAAAACTTAACTTTGACCACTGAACCATGAAAATGAGGTCAAGGTCAGATGACACCTGCCAGCTAGACATGTACACCTTACAATCATTCCATACACCAAATATAGTAGACCTATTGCATACAGTATAAGAAAAACAGACCAAAACACAAAAACTTAACTATAACCACTGAACCATGAAAATGAGGTCAAGGTCAGATGACACCTGCCAGTTGGACATGTACACCTTACAGTCCGTCCATACACCGAATATACTAGACCTATTGCTTATAGTATCTGAGATATGGACTTGACCACGAAAACTTAACCTTGTTCACTGATCCATGAAATGAGGTCGAGGTCAAGTGAAAACTGTCTGACGGGCATGAGGACCTTGCAAGGTACGCACATACCAAATATAGTTATCCTATTACTTATAATAAGAGAGAATTTAACATTACAAAAAATCTGAACTTTTTTTTCAAGTAGTCACTGAACCATGAAAATGAGGTCAAAGACATTGGACATGTGACTGACGGAAACTTCGTAACATGAGGCATCCATATACAAAGTATGAAGCATCCAGGTCTTCCATCTTCTAAAATATAAAGCTTTTAAGAAGTTAGCTAACGCCGCCGCCGCCGGATCGCTATCCCTATGTCGAGCTTTCTGCGACAAAAGTCGCAGGCTCGACAAAAAACAAACTAGAGCCCCCCAAACCTGAATCTCTCCCCTGGCAAAACAATGCCAACATAGCTGAGGAGAGTGTTAAATAACTACTAAATGTAGGAACATACTAATCTGGACTGGTTTTTTGTTTTGCCTGCTAGAGATAATCTGAACTTCTCATAAGGACTTAAGTAATTTTACTCTTCCCAAATATATAAATAAGATGTGATTGGATTGCCAATCAAACAACTCTCCACCAGCAACTATAGGTCATAGTATGACCTTCAACAATGATCAAAACCCATACTTAGTTTGAATCTATTTCACTGCATCTGTTCTCAATATAAAATCTACATCTTATTTCCCTTGGTGTTTCAAAGTAAACTTTGACTTCTGCTGACAGCCACTTTGAATTCCCAGTTGCCACCAAAGAAACTCCTCTTTTTAAGAACCTTTAAAAGAATTAAAGTTTAATTCCCTTTGATTGAATGGTTCTGGGGAAGATGTTTTTCAAATCCCAGCCAATCAGAAGCTATAATAGGCCAAGATGGCTACATTTGTTGGCTAATCAACATCAAACAAACATTTGAAAAGACTTTAAAAAGGATATTTTAGCAAAGTTTTTTTCCAATTTTATCATATGATGTCTCAAGAAAAAGACAAGCCCATGCCAAATTGATACCTCGTTTGTCAATGTCCCCAAAAAAGAAATTTTGTTTTCCCTTTAAACCCCTGTCCCATGCGGTTTTGCCCTTGTCCTTTTTTGACAGTAGGAGTCAGACAAACAAAAAAATTGATTTGGTGTGGCCTAAATGATATGTTTACTGATGTATAACAAACACCATGTAGTAGCAATAACTCACATGGTCTACTGTATGTAAACCATAAAAAAAAGTATAAATTATTGTGCATGATATGTCTTATGTATGTATTTTGTGTTTATTGAAGTATCTGTGGATTCTAAAAGCTTGTACTGTTTTGCATATTTTATTAATTTAAATAAAGCTTTTGATTTGATGATTTGATTGATTGAATTTGATAAACCTTTCTACATTTAGTCCCATGATATCAGCAATTCCTTTTTACTTTTTTTTTCATATTTGAATTAAATAAACAAAATTTCTGATTGTTGTTGATTGAGTCATTTTTATATAGCACCATACTGCAGCAAGATAAAAGTTAAATATACAGTAATTACTTACATGCACAATTGTATCCATAATAACCAGCTTGTAAAATTCCTGTCCAATCACAGTCCCTGTACACCCTCCTGTTAGCTGTAAAATAATTCATTAAATGATGTTATTGTGTTTAAGTTATGACACTAATGTCAAAACAACAAAATCTGTGCATACTATGTGGTGATGTTACACTATTGTTTCAGATAAGGGTGAAGGTTTGGTACCAATAAAAACATTTAAACCAACTGCAATTGTTTGCTCCTGTCCTAAGTCAGGAATCTGATGTTCAGTAGTTGTTGTTTGTTGATGTGGTTCATAAGTGTCTCTTGTTTCTCGTTTTTAATATAGATTAGACCATTGGTTTTTCTGTTTGAACGGTTTTACACTAGTAATTTTTGGGGCCCTTTATAGCTTGCTGTTCGGTGTGAGCCAAGGCTCCGTGTTGAAGGCCGTACTTTGACCTATAATGGTTTACTTTTATACATTGTGACTTGGATGGAGAGTTGTCTCATTGGCACTCATACCACATCTTCTTTTATCTATATACAATACATTTAATTGCTTTGAGAAAATTTCCAGGAAGTACAATTTTAATTTTTTTCACTGTTATCAATTTCTGCAACACCATTAAATTTGTACATTTGTTTAAATTTAAGAAACATTTGACATAATCATGTAAAGATGATAAAAATAATTGATTGTTGCTTGCTTAATGTCCAGTGGCAAATATTTCATGCAAATTCTGGACGAGAAACTATTAGCAATAAATATACTAGGTTGGTTATGCATGATGGGACGACAGGGATTAAGGGCGGCTAGTTTGGACTGCCATTAGGAAACAATGGTATGTTGGATAGGGACAGAAACTTTGCCTTGCACCTATAGAGTTCTCAAAGAGTTGTTGCAAGGATTCTTGAATGTGCAGAGTGACTCTCACTACAAAAGGCATCATGTTTAACATAAAATAAGGAGATGTCGTATGATTGCAAATGAGACAATTATCCAACATCCCAATTATGACTGCTGAGAACTGTACAGTCCAATTGAAGCCCCTCTTTGGCAAGGGATTTACCTCTGTATGAAAGAAGACCAATAAATGACCATATTTCTATACCCCAGTCAACCCTTTGGGTCAGGTAAAGATGACTTTACCATCTGTATCTAATGCTTCAGATATAACTTACTTCTGTAGAGTTTTATTAGAGTGTGATAACAAGAGCGAAAAAGTACTGTAAGCCATTCTAAGGATAAAGATTCTTGACAGCGTAATACTCAGCTCTCTACCCACTCACATAATGTACTATAAGATATAACTTACTTCTCTAGATCTTATGTAAGAATGTGACAATAAGAGTGAACAAGTAAGCCATTCTTAGGATAAAGATTCTTGACAGTGTAATAAGCAGCTCTCTCCCAAATCATATAATGTTCTATAAGATATAACTTACTTCTGTAGATCTTATGTAGAGTGATCTAGAGTGTGACAATAAGAGCAAACAAGTAAGCCATTCTTAGGATAAAGATTCTTCACAGCGTAATACTCAGCTCTCTCCCCACTCACATAATATTCTATCAGATATAACTTACTTCTGTAGAGTTTTTGTAGAGTGTAACAATAAGAGCAAACAAGTTAGCCATTCTAAGGATAAAGATTCTTGACAGTGTAATAAGCAGCTCTTTTTTCCCACTGGAATAATGTTCTATTTTAGCTGGTAACTGAAATAAAAATATATGCAAGAGGCATTTCAATTAATGAAGCTTCCTTCTCCCATGCAATAAAAAAAAGAGAGTGTCTTATTCAGATTCTTAAATAATATAATATGATATAAAATAAGATGTTTTATGATTGCCAATTAGACAACTCTCAACAAGTGACCAAATGACGTAGAAGTTTACAATTATAGGTCACTATACAGCCTTCAACAATGAGCAAAACCAATACTGCACTGTAAGCTATAAAAAGCCCAGAAATGACAAATGTAAAACAATTCAATGGAGAAAACTAAGGAATGTTTGTACAAAACAATTAACGAAAAACAAGATATATGACAGCAACAAACGACCGCCACTAAATTACAGGCTCCTGGCTTATAAAGCAAAGAAGTCATCTTACAATTGCAAACAATTCTGAAAAGAAATTGATGATGCAATTTCATCTGATTTACAGAACGAAAAAAAAAATATAAATCAATACCATGGAAACAATCAGTGGTATAAGGATGTTGATCAAACTGAAGATAATAGATGGTAGGTACACGCTCAGGAAATCTTTACTGTCAGAAAACTTCTCATACAGTACCAACCATACAATGGTACCACATCCTCCACCAATCAAAATACTGAAAATATATATAAATCAAAATACTGAGGAAAAACAAAGTGAAACTGCGAGCTACTGCTCACTGATGATACCCCCGCCGCAACTGGATAATTTTAATAGTGTAAAAATATGTAAGTGTTCGGTAAACAGGAAGTTATTGAGTGATGAATCTGAAAACGCATCACACTGTATAGCTGACTTATATAAACCCTGAAACCAAATTTCAGAAATCCTAATGATGTAGTTCCTGAGAAAGATGCGACAAAAAATATTCATGGGACGGATGGACGGACTGATGGATGGACGACAGACAGAGGTAAAACAGTATACCCCCACTTTTTTAAAGTGGGGTATAATAACAAAACAAGAATGCACATGTTATTCTGCATAGAAAACCCCCTCTTAATTCAAAGTATTGGAAAAAAGGAAGAAGGCTTCTGACAAATAATCACTGTTGAGCTACTGACCAAATACATGAAATATGATGTTATTCTGTTGACTAGTATTTGAAAAATGTGTGATGAAACATTTAAAGATAATTCTACATTTTGAAAAATTCAAAAGTTTTGGCAAACAGGAAGTAGGTATCTGAAAAATCTGAAATGTGCTCACACTTTATGACTTATCACTGTAGAGTTGCTGACCAAATGTGAAGTCATTCTGTTCAATAGTTTCTGAGAAAAGTATTATATGACAAACATATTTGTTGAACAACGTACAGACAAGGTGATCAATATAGCCCCATTCCAAGTTTGAGGTTTTGAAAATATAGTGTAAGACAGAAGCTACACACTCATATCCTGCCAGGAAACTACCCATACAGCACCACAATGCAATGGTACCACAAACTACTCATCAGAAATCTATGGGGAAATAAATGGAGAATGTGTTCATGGGACACAGATGATGCCCCAGCTTGCATATAACGTTATAAAGGAACATAACTAGAGAACTGTTAAAGTGACACCTTGATCTGAGTTTTGTGGTAATATGATGATGATGGGAGTTTTTAACGACCTTGACTGGCTATACAGCCCTCGCACGGTCGGCCCTGGCTTGCGCCTTTTTGGGCATTTAAATAATTTGTTTTTACCATAGGGTAATTGAATAATTTGAATTGTGGTAATAAGCATTGTGTATAAGCTACATAACATTTGGTTGAGGTAAACTGAAGTTAGAGAACGGAAAAGAAACAAGAGGCTCTCAAGAGCCTGAATCGCTCACCTGTATTTCAGAGGAGAAGATTTTTAAATGTTAGCAAACTTGATGAACAAATTGTGTAAAATTGTTTTTAAAGGGCAATAACTCCTTAAGGGGTCAATTGACAATTATGGTGATATTAACTTTTTTGTAGATCTTACTTAGCTGAACATTATTGCTGCTTACAGTTTATATATATATCTATAATAATATTCAAAATAATAACAAAAAACTGCAAAATTTTGTTAAAACTACCAATTCAGTGGCAGCAACCCAACAATGGGTTATTCGATTCGTCTGAAAATTTCAAGGCAGATAGATCTTGACCAATTAAACAATTTTACCCCTGTCACATTTGCTCTAAAAGATTTAGTTTTTGAGATATAAGCCAAAAACTGCATTTGACCCTTATGTTCTATTTTTAGCCATAGCGGCCATGTTTGTCGATGAATACATACTTCGTATACAATTTATAAACAAGATACCCTAAGGAACATTTAGTTAAAGTTTGAAGGTAATTGGCCCACTAGTTTCAGAGGAGAAGATTTTTAAATGTTAGCAAACTTGATGAACAAATTGTGTAAAATTGTCTTTAAAGGGCAATAACTCCTTAAGGGGTCAATTGACAATTATGGTCAAATTAACTTTTTTGTAGATCTTACTTTGCTGAACATTATTGCTGCTTGCAGTTTATATATATATCTATAATAATATTCAAAATAATAACAAAAAACTGCAAAATTTTGTTAAAACTACCAATTCGGTGGCAGCAACCCAACAATGGGTTGTTTGATTCGTCTGAAAATTTCAGAGCTGATAGATCTTGACCAATTGAACAATTTTACCCCATGTCAGATTTGCTCTAAAAGCTTTAGTTTTTGAGATACAAGCCAAAAACTGCATTTGACCCCTATGTTCTATTTTTAGCCATGGCGGCCATGTTTGTCGATGGATCAAAACTTCGGATACCATTTATAAACTAGATACCCTAAGGAACATTTATTTAAAGTTTGAAGGTATTTGGCCCAGTAGTTTCAGAGGAGAAGATTTTTAAAATAGTTTATAACGACAGATGACGACAGAAATCGACAGACGACGGACGCCAAGTGATGGCATAAGCTCACATGGGGCCCTTTGGGCCCTGTCAGCTAATAATTCAGCAATTTACTCCATATATAAAGGGACATAATGCTAGAACGGTATAAGTAACGCCACCGAAATTCATACTTGATCTGAGTTTTGTAGTAATAAGCATTGTGTATAAATTTAATAGCATTTGGTTGAGGCAAACTAAAGTTAGAGAAAGGAAACAAAAAATTCAGCATTTTTTCTATTTGTAAAGGGGCATAACTCTAGAACGGTAAAAGTAACACCACCCAAATTCAAACTTAATCTCTGTTTTGTGGTACAAAATGTAATAAGCATTGTGTATAAGTTTCATAACATAGAGAAAGGAAACTGATTTTGGGACGTACGTACGGACAAGGGTAACTCTTAATACCCCCTCTGCTGCGGCAAAGGCATAAAAACCCAAAAAATTTTCCTTTACCTTATCACTTACCAAATAGTTCTGCAACTTACAATGTCAATGAAACATGCCATAAACATTTACCTTACAATTTCCTTATATACATACTCAAATTTCAAAGTGACTTGAGAATACCTAGCTTTATAACAAGGCCTTATATTCTGTTTGTAACTAGATGCACTGATGTGAAAATAAATCTTATACTGTAAATTCAGAAATTATTTTGAGGTTTTTATTAATGCGAATAAGTTGACTCCTTGAGTATAGCAATAATAAGAGCTCGCATTCTGATATCTGATATATATGTCTGTATAAAGTTTTTCCAATAATTAATCTCACATTTTTGTTCATTCTTCGAAATTGCAATAATAAATTCAGGTAATAATTTCTGAATTAACAGTATTTCAATGATATATATGTAAAAGAGAGGCCAAAGATACCAAAGCGATATTCAAACTCATAAATCAAAAACAAACTCACAATCAATGCCATGGCAAAAAAACGAAATACGGTAGAATCACTTATACTGTTCTAGAGTTATGCCCTTTATATATGGAAAAGACAAATAACAGTACACAAAACACAATATAGAAAACTAAAAGACTAAGCAACACGAACCCCACCAAAAACCAGGGGTGATCTCAGGTACTCTGGAAGGGTAAGCAGATCCTGATCCACATGTGGCACCCATCAAGTAAAGTACTTATTATGTAAATACCTAACAAGAAAGTTAAACACTATATCTAAATTCTATAAATAGGTTCCCCACTAAATATTAGAAGTTTAAAAATTATTCATGTAATTAATAAGTTGTTTTCCAGTAGAAAAAAAAAAAGCAGGTGACTGAAATTAAAAGCTATGACTAAAAGATTTTAATGTTCCATTCCATTCATGAGAAAAATATAAGTTTTAAACAATAAGTGTATGAAAAGTCTAATAAAACGTTTTCTAGAACTTCAGCAAAAATGTTTATAATGTCATTTACATCCATCACTTAATACTGCAATATTTTAAAACCAATAACAACAACATTTTTAATGTAACAAAACAGTTACTAAAAAAGAACAGAAGTTAAACATTACAAGCAAATAATAAACAAACGAAACATTAAAATATTTTACATGGTTATTCCCCAGGCAAGAATTCTACTACAAATTATTTTATATGTTTCTCTCCTGTTCCTCTTCTTAGATTTTGCTTTAGCTTTATCTTCTGAAGTATTATCCTGATCATCAAAAATATATCTTTAATGCAGTTATTACATGTACTTAAATAAAAGTTTAAATGTCCCCCTCATTGCACATATTTTATCTGTCCAATAATAACTAAAAATAACCTTTTTCTGTTTGTTCTTTAAAACTTTTTATAAATATCTAGAGAAATGAAGGCTCGAGAGCAAATGCAATGCAATTTCAGATAAAACCAATATTTCTAAGGGGCATAACTCTTTAAAAAATATTTGATCGGCATTGACTATCGAAAAATTTCTTCAGACATTGCTGATATAAACCTTTAATATAAATTTTATAAAAATATGGCAAAAATTGTACAAGTAAGAGTGCTTACAATGTAATTTTCATGTAATTAATATTTCCAAGGGGCATAACTCTTTTAAAAATAATTGATCAGCACTGAATTTAGGTCTTGTCCGAGACATTGCAGATATAAACCTATGATATAATAAGTTTCATAAAAATCTGGCACGAATTGTACACATGCCATAGCGCTAATCTTCCATATAATTAATATTTCCAAGAGGTATAACTCTTTTAAAAATAATTGATCGACACTGATTTTCGAATTGTCCAAGACATTGCTAACATAAACACATGATATAAGTTTTATGAAAATCTGGCAAGAATTGTACACTTTAGGGCGCTAACAAGACAGGATGGACAGACGCACAGACAGACGCCTAGTACTTCTATGTCCCCTGTAACGCATGTTTTAGCGGGGTACAAAAAATGTATAGCATTGGAGACAATTTTTTAGACAACAACCACCTTTGTAGTAAAATTTTCATTTTATTTATATTTCTTATTAAAATTGCTGCTGTCAGTGTAAAAGTATTATGTTGACTGTAAAAAGAGAGTCCATTTATCAGTAAAATTATGAATTTAGAATTTTTTCTTTAGATGCTATTTCTTGGTCTTGAAGATAAGCTTCTGTCCAGGTTTCATAATAATCAATGAGGATTTACAAATTCATCATGTCAAAAAATTTTTAATCCTGTTAACTGGAAAAAACTAAGTCCTGTCATGATCATCTATCAGCAAGATACTGAAAATGAAAAAAATCTTTTCTAAATTTTGTTTTAGACACTTTCTCTTAATCATGTTAATCATTAAAGTTCTATAAAGGTTTGACAGAGTAATTGATGTGTAGCAAACTTTTACCCTACACTGTATCTACTTGTTTACTGCAAAAAACTAAGTCCTTTTATCAATAAAATACAGAAAATTAAAAAAAAAAATTTCAAAAAGGTTCTGTCAAAGTTGTTGCTGACTGAAAAACTTTAACTTTAACTGAATCTGATGTTAACTGTAAAAAAAAAATAATTCCATTTATCACTAAAATATGGAAAAATGAAAACAAATATTTTCAAAATTTTCCTCTGGATACTATCTTTTGGTCATAAAAAATCCATAAAAGTCCATAAAAATTTGACAGAGTTATTGATGTCTAAAAACACTTTTCCACAGACTGAACCTAAATGTTTACAACGTGGAATCTAGGATCATTATGTCTCGCTTTTGCGAAATGTTGCAGGCTTGACAAAAAACAACTCAAAACAATCATATTTTCAAGTAGTATCAAAAATTCTATCATTTTGTGTATCAATGTTTTATTGAATGTGTATTATTGACTGGAGCAGATCATAGCTTACCTTGAGAACACTAGCTATTCCCACAGTTAGATTATCTGAGGCTTCTGTTGATGTTATACTGTGTGTGTGTTTGTGTGTATCAATGTTGATAGAATGTGTATTATTGACTGGAACAGAACACGAACACTAGCTATTCCCACACTTAGATTATTTGAGGCATCTGAAGATGTAACACCATGGTCCCAGGAAGAAAATAGTATTGATGAAAACTTAAATCTTGAAGAAAATGTAGCTGATTTTGGTCTATCCGATCCTCCTAAACTAATAAAATATAATTATAGAATAACTCAAATATAGAAAAATATTCAACGAGTGACTGAACAACGCATTAATTCATGAATTCGCAAGAGTTAAATATAAGTGTTGTTTGGTCATGAGTTAAATATTTTCATTATTTGAATTCTTTGATTAGGTATTCTTTTTATTACATTGACCATAGGTTTTTAATGAAAATAAAGTATAATATACAAGGAACTATATGTTTTTTTTAAGCATTCCCAATTTCGTCATCACTAATGTCTTGAAAACTCCTATTATTTTATGACGTCAGAGTACTGAAATTATCGGAATATGATTTATCAGTTTTTATTAAACTAGGAAATCACAGTATTTCATTACAACCAATGCATTTTAATAATAGTTCATAATGGTAATGTAATACATCAATCGAGTTTTTTAAATGCAAGACATATATGAATAAACAGAAATATACCTGATAATTATCATACCTGATGTCAGATATACCCTATGTGATGTCAGATTTACCATACCTGATGTGAGATTTCCCATACCTGATGCCAGACTTACCTATTCGATGTCAGAAGTACCATTTATCTCTTTTTCACTATACCTGATGTAACAACTATCATACCTGATGTTAGAACTATCATATCAGATGTCAGAACTAACACACCTGATGTCAGAACTATCATACCTGATGTCAGAAGTATCATACCTGATGTCAGAACTATCATACCTGATGTCAGAAGTATCATACTTGATGTTAGAACTATCATACTTGATGTTAGAACTATCATACCTGATGTTAGAACTATCATACCTGATGTTAGAACTATCATACTTGATGTTAGAACTATCATACCTGATGTTAGAACTATCCTACTTGATGTTAGAACTATCATACCTGATGTCAGAACTATCATACTTGATGTCAGAACTATCATACTTGATGGTAGAACTATCATACTTGATGGTAGAACTATCATACCTGATGTTAGAACTATCATACCTGATGTTAGAACTATCATACCTGATGTTAGAACTATCATACCTGATGTTAGAACTATCATACTTGATGTTAGAACTATCATACCTGATGTTAGAACTATCTTACCCGATGACAGAACTATCATACCTGATATTAGAACTATCATACCTGATGTTAGAACTATCTTACCCGATGACAGAACTATCATACCTAATGTTGGAACTATCCAAACGTTTTTCTTTTATTGTTTTATCATAAAACAGGCCGTTGGTTATTTAGTTTGAATTGTTTCACATTTTGTCCTGATCTGGCCTTTTATAGCGGTCTTACAGTAAAGGTTTTGCTCTTAGTTGAATGTTTTACTGTGGCCTATAATTGCTTACACCCAGGTCATTTGCACTACCTTCTAAGTTGAATTCACCTACCTTATGAGTTCAAATAACCCATGTCTAGAGCTGAAATATCCACCTCCTAAACTGAAAACTCTTAACTATTGAGTAGAAATATCAGATGTATGGAGATGAACAACCTTCAGTTTGGAGGGGGTGTCCTACCTTTACAAGTTAAAACATCTTACCTATTGAGAATAACAAAGATGAACAACCTTCAGTTTGGAGCAGGTATCCTACCTTTACATGTTAAAATATCTTACCTATTGAGAATAACAAACAGACTACCAAAGTATGTCACCAGGATCATCATTAAATAGGCCAGTGCAATGTGATACACTCCATCAATGACATCTGGATAACCTCCATAAAACAGCCAGGTCTCCCTAATAGCTCCCTACAAATATAAAACATACATGCCATCTATAAGGTCAGCTTCATTATATTTATGATTTTCTCTAGAAAGTTACAAATATCAACAGCAACCCTTTTTTGGGGGGATGGGGGGAAGGAAATTTGGGCATGTAATTTTCACTCTTTTTTTACATTTCATGATGATCTTAGGGATTTTTGCAACTTAAAAAGTACAGTTTGCTTAATCTTCTTTTTTCTACCCCTGTATATCTGTACTTGTAAATTGCCATTATTTTCTGTCCATTTAAACTTTTGGGATTGAATCAATCACAGAGCAAAAATATGCCAAATTTGATATTCATTTTTATCCGTTTTTCAGGGAAAAATGTCGTTAGTTTTAAATAAACAGCTTTACAAGAGCATTGAGTAAAATCAAGGGGAATAGTTATTATTTTCTTCAGTACCAGGATCAATTAGTTATTTACATAAAATCTTGAAAATTATTTTTTTGTGGAAAATATTCCAAGCCCCCATCACTCCTTCATTGAAAAGGCCATCCACTAAATAGTTATCACAATAACAAAAACCAAGGAAATGATTTGTAGCTCTTCACTCTCTACGGTTTATCTATCCATTAATTACCCAAAGGGTTAAACTGGGGTATAGAAATATGATCATCCCAGGACGTCTTTTGTTGGGTAGTTAAATTCTGGCTCAAGTGAAAAGGGGGGGAGGGGGGGGGTCCTTTGGCTGTGCTGGATGTATAAATCCTCAGCAACATCTGGTTGAAATTATGATGTTAAATTTGATGCCTCCTATTGTATAATTATCATGCTCTCTAGATAATCTATAAAGAGTCAATTGATGGTTTCAGTCAAATTGACATTGTTTGGCTGACATCAGTATGTCTGTCTAAACAAAAATTGATGTAAAATTATGGAGTCAAATAACCAGGTTCAGTGATAATAAATTACCTTCAAACAATACAGTTGTCTGACTTTTTTTTTTTGGAGGGGGGTGGCTTTAAAAAGTAAGCCCTTTCATTTATAATTTCATTCTTTCATGTCTCTGCTGATTTGACATTTTGCAACTGAAAAAGATAGCCAAATACATGTACTGGAAAAATTACGATTTACAGAAAAATTAACAGTTATATGGTACCTATAGTTACCTCTCCATCAATGAAGTTCATCCACTCCAAATCTTGCGAGATGTTGTTGTAGTTAAATGTTATGGCTGTTGGTATGACAACCACTGATAACCAGAAACATGACAGGAACAAGTTCAACAGGATGACCCATCTAACAAACACAAATAAAGAACCAATACTAGAACCAAAATTACCTACAAAACAATAGCAGGTGATCAGCCTAGATACCTAGTGCAGGACAACGAACACAAATAAAGAACCAATACTAGAACCAAAATTACCTACAAAACAATAGCAGATGATCAGCCTAGATATCTAGTGCAGGACAACGAACACAAATAAAGAACCAATACTAGAACCAAAATTACCTACAAAACAATAGCAGGGGATCAGCCTAGATATCTAGTGCAGGACAACAGACACAAATAAAGAACCAATACTAGAACCAAAATTACCTACAAAACAATAGCAGATGATCAGCCTAGATATCTAGTGCAGGACAACAGACACAAATAAAGAACCAATACTAGAACCAAAATTACCTACAAAACAATAGCAGGTGATCAGCCTTGATATCTAGTGCAGGACAACAGACACAAATTAAGAACCAATACTAGAACCAAAATTACCTACAAAACAATAGCAGGTGATCAGCCTAGATATCTAGTGCAGGACAACAGACACAAATAAAGAACCAATACTAGAACCAAAATTACCTACAAAACAATAGCAGGTGATCAGCCTAGATATCTAGTGCAGGACAACAGACACAAATAAAGAACCAATACTAGAACCAAAATTACCTACAAAACAATAGCAGGTGATCAGCCTAGATATCTAGTGCAGGACAACAGACACAAATAAAGAACCAAAATTACCTACAAAACAATAGCAGATGATCAGCCTAGATATCTAGTGCAGGACAACAGACACAAATAAAGAACCAATACTAGAACCAAAATTACCTACAAAACAATAGCAGGTGATCAGCCTTGATATCTAGTACAGGACAACAGACACAAATAAAGAACCAATACTAGAACCAAAATTACATACAAAACAATAACAGGTGATCAGCCTAGATATCTAGTGCAGGACAACAGACACAAATAAAGAACCAATACTAGAACCAAAATTACCTACAAAACAATAGCAGATGATCAGCCTAGATATCTAGTGCAGGACAACGAACACAAATAAAGAACCAATACTAAAACCAAAATTACCTACAAAACAATAGCAGATGATCAGCCTAGATATCTAGTGCAGGACAACAGACACAAATAAAGAACCAATACTAGAACCAAAATTACCTACAAAACAATAGCAGATGATCAGCCTAGATATCTAGTGCAGGACAACGAACACAAATAAAGAACCAATAGGCCCGAGAACACAGTTATTTCGTAGTGCATTTATTTTAGACAATAAATTCAAATTAAAAAAATCGCACCTGCTCTATCTCAAAAAGATTTTTACAGTGTAGTGTACTACTATTGATACAAATAATATCAAAATTATAGAAACTTCTACCAGCTCTAACTCAAAATATTGACAATTCTGTGTTACGGGGGGCTAAAATTCAGTTTGACAGCTTCAGACATTCTAATTTTTTGACCTTTTTTAACTGGACCAAATCACTACTTAACATAAAAGATTCAGCACCCAAATTTTTTAAACATGTAATTTCATCCCCTTACTTAATATTTCATGCATAAAATATCAAGAAATAAATTGGGAAAGTGTATCAAAAAAAAATGCAAGTTATACACTGTTCACACTAGGGACTATATTCGTAGACAACGAAAACCAAAGGACGATAACTGTGTCCTTGGACCTAATAGGATAGAAAGACTTGACCAATTTTAATAAAACTTTGCATGACCTAAGCTTAGGCAATTATAAGATAGTTGGCCAAGTTTCATGGCCATAGGATATATATTATAGAAACTAGGGCCATTTTAATATTGAAATTTGGATGTTTATTTTTGACGTTTAAATCAAATATTTTCAACTGTCAAGATTTTGGCCTAAAAAATTTAAATATTGCAAAAATTTGCTTTTTAAATACTCTTGAATTTAATATAATAAGTTTTAAAAGCAACGGAACACTCATTTGATTTATCAGATTTATTACAGTTATTCAAAAGTCAAATTTATATGAGCCTGTGCCTGAAAATAGAGATTTTCGAATTAAGGGAAGCCTTACATAAACATGCATTTTTTTCAACCAATTTGAAGTTTTTGAAGTTTTTTAACCATACATTATTCTTCCATATATATTAAATGTACTTTGAATGTAAAGAAAAGTTACAAAAAGCATACCACATGAGTATAAAATGGTCTTAGGCCATGTAAGACTGAGAATTATTTAGAGTCGATTTAGGCCTTAGCCCATATTTACATATAAAAATGCACACAGAGGCTATAAGAAATTGAAATTTGTTACTTTTTGCTCATTTCTATGCTAAGATGTCATGATACAAGAAGTCTAATTGCAAAAGGACTCTTGAATTCAACTTTTTTCTGCAGACAGTATGGTCTGATGACCAGTTTTTCACTTTTCAATGGAAAACTTGCATGTAGTTTTAGTCTCATTTGGCATATATTTGAACCACTTACTATCCTAAAGAAGAAAATTATGGTAGCATATGAAATGAATAGGGTGTACTGATCATTGTAAAGTGGTTTTTTTACAGATTTAGTGAAATATTTGTGATGGACTACAGATTTTATGTACAAAGCTCTTCACATTTCACATACATCAAACAGGCCGTTTAACCAGGGACATAAATACAAATATTCTGCACATTTTTTCTGTGATAATCTACTTTTCTCTAGATTCCGAGTTCACAAATGGTTAATTAAATTTGATTTAAGCATAGAAACACAAATATCAGGAACATAAAAAGCTGTCAGATAGAAAGTCAGCATGGCTCTTAGGCATAAAATGGAAACTGCTTTAAAATGCTTATTTTAGCCGTATAATGCCGAAATGGGACATTTTAACAGAATTTCTGTCAAACAAAGATGTAAATCCTTTTCTTTTATCGAGTTTGACAAATTGAAACCAGCAAACCATTCAGGAAAGTTGCAAAAGTACAGAATCTACATTTACGGAATTCATCTCTTAGGCCCGAGAACACAGTTATTTCGTAGTGCATTTCTTTTAGACAATAAATTCAAATTAAAAAAATCGCACCTGCTCTATCTCAAAAAGATTTTTACAGTGTAGTGTACTACTATTGATACAAATAATATCAAAATTATAGAAACTTCTACCAGCTCTAACTCAAAATATTGACAATTCTGTGTTACGGGGGGCTAAAATTCAGTTTGACAGCTTCAGACATTCTAATTTTTGACCTTTTTTAACTGGACCAAATCACTACTTAACATAAAGATTCAGCACCCAAATTTTTTAAACATGTAATTTCATCCCCTTACTTAATATTTCATGCATAAAATATCAAGAAATAAATTGGGAAAGTGTATCAAAAAAAAATGCAAGTTATACACTGTTCACACTAGGGACTATATTCGTAGACAACGAAAACCAAAGGACGATAACTGTGTCCTTGGACCAATACTAGAACCAAAATTACCTACAAAACAATAGCAGGTGATCAGCCTAGATATCTAGTGCAGGACAACAGACACAAATAAAGAACCAATACTAGAACCAAAATTACCTACAAAACAATAGCAGATGATCAGCCTAGATATCTAGTGCAGGACAACGAACACAAATAAAGAACCAATACTAGAACCAAAATTACCTACAAAACAATAGCAGGTGATCAGCCTTGATATCTAGTGCAGGACAACAGGCACAAATAAAGAACCAATACTAGAACCAAAATTACCTACAAAACAATAGCAGATGATCAACCTAGATATCCAGTGCAGGACAACAGACACAAATAAAGAACCAATACTAGAACCAAAATTACCTACAAAACAATAGCAGATGATCAGCCTAGATATCTAGTGCAGGACAACAGACACAAATAAAGAACCAATACTAGAACCAAAATTACCTACAAAACAATAGCAGATGATCAGCCTAGATATCTAGTACAGGACAACAGACACAAATTAAGAACCAATACTAGAACCAAAATTACCTACAATACAATAACAGGTGATCAGCCTAGATATCTAGTGCAGGACAACAGACACAAATAAAAAACCAATACTAGAACCAAAATTACCTATTAATCAATAACAGTTGATGCTTAGATATCTAGTGTGGGGCAATCATATAGTACACAATGTTTTTTAGCTACAATTACCTACAGTTATATAAATAGCAATAGATGATGAATAGATAGGTAGTTTAATATCCAGTAGCAAATATATATGAATATCAAGACAAAAAACATGTTGATGTAATATGATCTTGCTTGGCACTAGACTAACATGCTGAGTCGTCAACATGCTAGTTCAAAAGGTTTCAGTATGCAGGAAGATATGTCAACATATCACAACACATTATTCTGCCTCTGAGCCAACCAGTATTTTCTCTCAGTCCTAAATGCCACATCCTTAATAGCCAAGACAATAACGGAGAAAATATCAAATTCATCCATTTGAAAAATACAAAACTACTCGTAATTATGAAAAAAAACCTGAATATTAACAGGATAAATTCATCAAATTATAAACAGAACTTTTTGAATTATTTATTGTTCCATGCACCTTATTATATTTTGCTGTGTGTTGAAGGCCTCACTGTGACTTTGAGATGAAGAACAGCAATAAAAGCACTGTTCCTTTGCTTTTTGTGTTTTTTTGCTGTGCATGTACTGATTTTGTGTCATGGATGGATACCCAATATCCTTTTTTTTCTTTCTATTTCATTAACTTACTTTCTATGTACTTGTAATAAGACTTAAAGATTCATGGATGGATACCCCCATACTTTGTTTTTCTATTCCAATTCATTAACTTACTTTCTATGTACTTGATATAAGACTTGAAGATAGGATTTTCTGTACCTTTGATTTTCCACCTTCTATACCATACCTTAAAACAAATGTGTTAGTAGGTTAGTAAGCTGTAACAAATTATTTACAATTTTGATGTCTGAAATATCATAAATTTTATCTAATATTCCAGTGGAACATTTCTTTTAACATTGACATTGCACCATGTTCTAACATCTCTTAAACCATTTTAGAGATTGAGAAATTTTAAGAGACCCTTATCTGTAGTTAGATATTGACAGCACATGTAACCTTAAATCATACTCATTGAAACGTGAACTTTAACTTAATATCCATGATTATTGTATGATAAAATGTAGGCTACATAAACTTTTAATAAAGTTTGTTTATCTATCACCCATCATAAAATGAAGAATAAGTATGAATATACAGTTCATGTTATCTATGTATTTGCCATAGAAGCAAGAAAAAATACCTTGATATCATGTTTTAGTAACTGGTACACAGTCATCTTGGCTCTGATGTTAGTATTCTTTCTTGGGGGTGAGTACCTGTTAACAAAAGCCACAATTTGTTAAATATTTCTAATGAGTTATACTGTCATGGCTGTTAGGTACTACTAATAAAAATACCCTCCTCCCATAAAAAAATATTATATATCAAACTTACACCATAAAAACTAGATACACCATATTTGTAAACTAGAAAATGCAAATTTCTCTTAAAGGAGCTCTGTATCCATGAAAACACATCACATGGTTAAACTTCCCTTTAGACTTATTCAGTTAAAATGAACATGGAGGGTATGAAAGCACTTTCAAAATTCCCCCACAACCAACATATTTCTTTCAATGGAATAACCATCATCATGTTTATAGAGCTTTGTATCAATGAAAATGCATTATACAGCTTAAAGCCTCATTGCAACAAAATACTTATCAATAAACATGGCCAAAATGTTATTTCAATAGCATAAATGTAAATCTGACCATGATAAAACACTGAATGCAGAACACTGTATGTGTATGCAGAACACTGTATGTGTATGCAGACATTTCAATGTTAGGGGTAAATATCATAGTTATTCTGGGCATTTTTTTTATATTAAGTTTTTTACATTGATGACTAATATGACTAAGACATACTTAACACATGCTTAAGTTACTTTACTGAATACTGTTATAAAATAGATTTTGAGATGTAACTGCATCTTTAATGTATACTATAATACTAATTCCTAGATCATAGACATGATATATGTGTATATATGTTATTCAATATTGAATACCGTCAGATCAGTTTTGAGATGTAACTTTATATTTTTTCAATGAATACTGTCAGACTATGACATGTACTTGCATCTTTTCTCCAGTATGAAGTATGTCTTCAATATACATGTCAACCAATCCATCATGATGAGAGAATTCATGGTCCTCCTCGCGTGAAATACCACGACTTTTCTTTTCCAATGCAGACCCTGATAAAACTGTTTTTGTCAGTCTCTTGGACAAAGAACGATGTCTGTCCAGTTTGATAGACTCCTGTAAATAAATGTTACATGCTAACGTCAGAGGGTAAATAATAACTGATAACAAAGAACATAACACAAAATATTACACACATGTTATTTCAGCAGGAAAATAACCGATAACAAAGAACACATTATAAATTACTGCATATGTTATTTCAGCAGGAAAATAACCGATAACAAAGAAACATTATAAAATACTTGTTATTTCAGCAGGACAAGAGTGCACACGCTGAAATGTCTCGCCTTCTTTACTAATCATTGATATTATGTTGATAGTCCTATATATAAAGCTTTCTTACAACTGTCACATAAACTTAACATTAACCAAGAAAACTAAACATTGACCAATGAACCATGAAAATGAGGTCAAGGTCAGATGAACCATGCCAGGCAGGCATGTACAGCTAACAATTCTTCCATACAACAAATATAGTTGACCTATTGCTTATAGTTTAAGAAAAACAGACCAAAACACAAAAACTTAACACTGAGCAATGAACTGTGAAAATGAGGTCAAGGTCAAATAAAAACTGCGCGACTGACATAAAGATCATAAAATATTCCCATACACCAAATATAGTTGACCTATTGCATATAGTATTAGAAAAAAAGACCAAAACTCAAAATCTTAACTTTGACCACTGAACCATGAAAATGAGGTCAAGGTCAAATGACACCTGCCAGCTAGACATGTACACCTTACAATCATTCCATACACCAAATATAGTTGACCTGTTGCTTAAAGTGCAAGAAAAACAGACCAAAACACAAAAACTTAACATAAGCAATGAACCATGAAAATGAGGTCAAGGTCAAATAAAACCTGCCAGACTGACATGTACATCATTAAATATTTCCATACACCAAATATAGTTGACCTACTGCATACAGTATTAGGAAAACAGACCAAAACACAAAAACTTAACATTTAGCAATGAACCTTGAAATGAGGTCAAGGTCAAATAAAACATGCCAGACAGACATGTTCATCGTAAAATATATCCATACACCAAATATAGTTGACCTACTGCATACAGTATTAGAAAAACAAACCAAAACACAAAAACTTAACATTGAGCAATGAACCGTAAAAATGAGGTCAAGGTCAAATAAAACTTGCCAGACAGACATGAACATCGTACAATATTTCCATACACCAAATACAGTTGACCTATTGCAAACAGTATTAGAAAAACAGACCAAAACACAAAAACTAAACTATGACCACTGAACCATGAAAATGAGGTCAAGGTCAGATGACACCTGTCAGTTTGACATGTACCCCTTACTATCATTACATACACCAAATATAGTAGACCTATTGCTTATAGTATCTCAGATATGGACTTGACCACGAAAACTTAACCTTGTTCACTGATCCATGAAATGAGGTCGAGGTCAAGTGAAAACTATCTGACGGGCATGAGGACCTTGCAAGGTACGCACATACCAAATATAGTTATCCTGTTACTTATAATAAGTGAGAATTTAACATTCCAAAAAATCTGAACTTTTTTTTCAAGTAGTCACTGAACCATGAAAATGAGGTCAAGGACATTGGACATGTGACTGACAGAAACTTCGTAACATGAGGCATCTATATATAAAGTATGAAGCATCCAGGTCTTCCACCTTCTAAAATATAAAGCTTTTAATTAGTTAGCTAACGCTGCCGCCGCCGCCACCGCCACCGGATCACTATCCCTATGTCGAGCTTTCTGCGACAAAAGTCGCAGGCTCGACAAAAACCACCAATAACAAAGAACACATTATAAAATACTTGTTATTTCAGCAGGAAAATAACCGATAACAAAGAACACATTATAAATTACTGCACATGTTATTTCAGCACGAAAAATAACCAATAACAAAGAACACATAAATTACTGCACATGTTATTTCAGCAGGAAAATAACAGATAACAAAGAACACATTATAAAATACATGTTATTTCAGCAGGAAAATAACCGATAACAAAGAAACATTATAAAATACTGCACATGTTATTTCAGCAGGAAAATAACCGATAACAAAGAACACATAAAATACTGCACATGTTATTTCAGCAGGAAAATAACCAATAACACAAAACACATTATAAAATACTGCACATGTTATTTCAGCAGGAAAATAACCAATAACACAGAACACATTATAAAATACTGCACATGTTATTTCAGCAGGAAAATAACCAATAACAAAGAACACATAAAATACTGCACATGTTATTTTAGCAGGAAAATAACCAATAACAAAGAACACATTATAAAATACTGCACATGTTATTTCAGCAGGAAAAATAACCAATAACAAAGAACACATAAATTACTGCACATGTTATTTCAGCAGGAAAATAACCAATAACAAAGAACACATAAATTACTGCACATGTTATTTCAGCAGGAAAATAACCAATAACAAAGAACACATAAAATACTGCACATGTTATTTCAGCAGGAAAATAACCAATAACAAAGAACACATTATAAAATACTGCACATGTTATTTCAGCAGGAAAATAACCAATAACAAAGAACACATTATAAAATACTGCACATGTTATTTCAGCAGGAAAATAACCAATAACACAGAACACATTATAAAATACTGCACATGTTATTTCAGCAGGAAAATAACCAATAACACAGAACACATTATAAAATACTGCACATGTTATTTCAGCAGGAAAATAACCAATAACAAAGAACACATAAAATACTGCACATGTTATTTCAGCAGGAAAATAACCAATAACAAAGAACACATTATAAAATACTGCACATGTTATTTCAGCAGGAAAAATAACCAATAACAAAGAACACATAAATTACTGCACATGTTATTTCAGCAGGAAAATAACCAATAACAAAGAACACATAAAATACTGCACATGTTATTTCAGCAGGAAAATAACTAATAACAAAGAACACATTATAAAATACTGCACATGTTATTTCAGCAGGAAAATAACTGATAACAAAGAACACATTTTAAAATACTTGTTATTTCAGCAGGAAAATAACCGATAACAAAGAACACCTTATAAAATACTTGTTATTTCAGCAGTAAAATAACCGATAACAAAGAACACATTATAAAATACTGCACATGTTATTTCAGCATGACATTTAAATAACACTGTACATGTGTATTTGGGGACAAAATTCATTTTAACAAGGATTTAGTACAATTCAGATTTTTATTTTTTATCGGTTTGTTCAGCTGAAAAGGTTTAACTATCCACCATGCTCCTGTACATGTCTTGTGTTATGATTTTTTTCATTCAGTTTTTCTAACCAATCTATTTTCTGTCTTTGCAGTACTGACCTTTTGTTGTATTCTGCCATACTGACCTTTTGTTGTATTTTGCCATACTGTCCTTTTGTTGTATTTTGCCATACTGACCTTTTGTTGTATTCTACCATACTGACCTTTTGTTATATTCTGTCAAACTGTCCTTCAAACATAAAAGACCTCAAAGGACTTGCTGGTGTCAGAAATGGCATTACTTGACTTTAGTTAACTGTTGCTGTATTCTGCCATAATGACCTTCAAATGACATCAAAAGACTTACCGGTGAAGTGGCCTCACTTCTGGACTTCTGCCGATTGTTGCTGTATTCTGCATACATAATGCGTCTTAACCTGTTATACCTACAACAAAATATCAATTATATTAAAAGGAGAACATGGAGAATGTACAATTTGGGGCAAATTTTTTTTTTAAATTCTAAAATTATATTTTCGCCAGTTCTCAACCAACATAGAGTTGTACATAACTAGTCCTAACCCTAATAACCCTTACCCTAAGTTAACCCTAACCCTAAAGTAGATGGTATAGGGTCTGTTTGCTCCCATAACCAGTCAGAGCTCAGACATAAACAAGTCTTTTTTTGTTTCTGACTTTCAGAAGTCAAATCAAGTATTTTGATAAAGTACACCACCATGACCACCTAGCTATGATTTGTGAATGAAGCCTGTTTTGAAAAAAAAGTATTTGTAATAAAGGATAAAAGTGAATGTAACTATTGTAACCAATGTAACTCAGAAATATCAAGATTTAATTTAAAGTGTAACCCAGTGTTACTATAGTGTAACCATTGTTACCCTGTAACTGGATTTGGGAATGAAGCCGGTTTGAAAAAAAAGTATTTCTAATAAGTATTGAAAGTGAATGTAACCAATGTAACCCAGCAATTTGTGGATTCTTTTTAATTAACCCCATTGTAACCCTGAAAAAAAATGCTTGTAAACATAGAATATAACCAAACTCTGTACCTCTCATATATCACGTATATGAAATAAACTTAAGGGGAGAGTTGAGCGCTCACAAACATGTTTAACCCCGCCACATTCTTTATGCGCCTGTCCCAAGTCAGGAGATTGTAGTTCAGTGGTTGTCGTTGGTTCATGTCTGTCATATTTGTTTTTCGTTAATTGTTTTGTTATAAATTAGGCTGTTAGTTTCCTCAATTGAATTGTTTCATATTTTTCATGCCAGGTCCTTTTAAAGCCAACTATACGATATGGGTTTTTCTCATTGTTGAAGGCTGTGCAGTTGCCTATAATTGCTAACATCCACTTCATTATAAAAAATGCATCCAATTTAGGAGCAAGAGTTGAATTAGGAAGATTGCCTATAGAATGTTTTAATAAAACACAAACCCTTTTATATTTAGCTAGACTATATAATAATAATATTAATCCATTGATAAAGGAAGCTTTTTCTCTAGCACAGTCTCTAGATTTGACTGGAACTTATTCATGGTATACATATGCAAAAAATATTGTTGAAGAGACTAATATTGACCTTAATATTCTTTCTAATTGTAAGGACATAAAAGATGTAAATAAAATAAAAAACGATATAAAGTTAAAAATGAAAAATAGATATGAAGATTTAATTGAAACTAAATTTGAAAACATTGATCATGTTGATGATAAAAGTAAATTTTATCTATATAAAAAACTTAAAAAAAGATTGCAAACTAGAATCTTATCTAACATGTCTAAATATATCTAATTTTCAGATAAGGAGATTGATCACTAAATTTAGACTAAGTGATCACTCCCTCTTAATTGAAAAGGGGAGATATTTTAAAATCCCAAGAGAGGAACGACTTTGTCATAAATGTAAAATACTAGAGGATGAGAAACATTTTTTACTCTATTGTGATTATAATAAAACACTAAGAAATGCCTTTTTGGAACACATATGTACTGAAAATAATAACTTTAATAATTTAAATGAAGAAGAAAAAATTCATTATTTACTAAATCCATCAACGCCTTTACAAATAAGTTAGAATCCTTCTTGAAAAAGTCATTAGATATGAGGGCAGGGGACTCTTTAACAGCTTATTTGTTTTTATAAATTTTGATGCTGTTTTTTTTATTGTGTTTGTTTGATATGTATGTATATATGTTTATTGTGTTAATACATGTTGGTCACAAACTGTAAAGTTTATACGACAATAAAATATTTGATTTGATTTGAAAAAATTATAACTTTAATATGGTGGATAGTTGTCTCAGTCTCATTGGCAATCATCATGATCATACCACATTTTTATATTAAAATGGTGATTGTTACTGTTGTCATCTGTGTAACCATTCTCATGTAGAAGTTACAAATTCTGATGTGTTGATTTTAGGACACATTTCTGGACATACATGAGCTTTAAACATGGAAATAAATACTGTAGGCAGTGTAGGAACTGATAGCTGTAATACAACCCCATGGCCATGTAAATTATGTATCCCGCAATGGTGGTAAGTCGTGCACTTAAGGCCATTTTTTATTTTATTTTTCTGTAGACTTAGCTTTGTTTTTTTATTACTGTGTATTGTCAAGCTTGGTTACTCATAATTGTTTCTCAGTCACTGAATGTACGATGTTGTTCCATACTGCAGCAGCTGACCGGGTTTGTTTACATTCAAATTCTAATGGCTTCAAAACCACATGATACATTGAATCGTTATATCCAATCAAATTGCTCTACTGTCAATTAGGTGATTTTTTAGTGCAAGGCAATTATATTATTTGTTTGTATGATATTGCTTTGAAATAGTTTGCAATAAATTGGGGGTTTATTCAATAGGAAACCTCATTATTAGCCATGAAATTCGATATCAATGGAATTTTATATGAATATTTACTTATGGTCAGAATATTGATCTCTTTATATTGAACCAATTTTTTTTTTTATGAAAAAATATATGTATATTGTTTTTTATTAACCTACTCTATATTCCTGAACAAAAATATGGCATGATTATCGTTTGTTTCCCAATTTTTTTCTTTCAATTTGGATGGGTTTTTTTCGCGGGAAAATCGCATAAGACGTAAGGTGCTTGCCATTTTGAAATTCTTAAAAATACGATTTGCTTGGCCTGTTTGGTCTGCCATTAAGATTGATGACGCTAAATGGAATGTAAACAAAGCAATGGAGGCCGAAAGAGGGGATTTCTGGAGTTCTGGAATGTTTTTAGGCATTCGGAAGTCAGGTTTGAAACGGCCATTAGAAAATTGGCATTTTTGTACAATGCTTTAGAATAACAATGAAAACATATCTTTAGAAATGTTTGTTTATTTAGAAGTGTAGAAAAAATGTATTCTGCACTAATTTTGTACGCTGGTATAGCGTAGTGACGTCAATGCGGAGTTTTCCCGTGTGATAAGTACAATAACAAAATCCGAACGAACCAACATTATGACCGATTATAGACTACGGTAGGATATGGAGAGAACAGACCCTGTATGCAAACATGTGGGGTGTGAATGTGAAAAAGGGCGAACATAGAGGTGAGCAAACATGATTTTGGGCAAACAGTCCCAGATTCAAAGTAAAGCCACTAAAGCCAGTAAAGCCTACTAAAGGGCCCCATTTACTGCTTTAGTAAAATTAAAAAGGTTAAGCAGAGCCAGAGAGGGCAAATAGTTCTAAACAGTTTTTATTCTCTTTGTCAATGCATGCTTCTGGAATGTGTACTACACAATGGACTAATGCCTCTACAATATATAGTTTTTACCTATTTTACTGAAACAGCAATTTTGCAAGATTGAATTTCCCACCACACAGCTGAGATATTCATACAAATATCACTGCACAGCACCTCATCCACAGAACCTTTAATAGAATTTAATAATGTTACATATACATGAATTGAACTAATTTAATCTTTATTTGAGTACATATTAAAAAATGAATAGTTCTATCTGGGGTATTTTCGACCAAATGCCTTTGAGATAGGAAGAAATAAAATGATTCTTTGTAGCCACATTCTCAAATGGCATACACATTTTTTATTCTAGATTTTTATATTTTTTTTCTAACAAAAATATTAACATTGCCTATAAAAATTAATCGTTTAGACCATTACAACAAACGAAGAATTATAATGATTGGAAAATATATGAATAGCACAAATCTCTGTACAACGTAAATCCCGTTTCCAAAAGAATGTTTCAATATGGCCGTCCAACTTGAGGTTTAAAAGTTTAATCGCGAAATTATGGCGAAAGCTGCCAATATGGGGAAAGAACACATAGAATGCATGGCATCATCGATAGTTCGAGAATATTTAAGTAGAAAGGTGGTGTAAAATACCTGCTTAGATACATGATAATTAACATGTGGCCGGTGTTACCGTCAAAGTGGCCTTACAACCTATAATTTTAATTTTTGTGTATTTAAGATTACAAAATTATTTCAATTGCACTATGATGAAAATATATTTTTAATAGATGGATTTCTCTCGTTTTTTCTATTGATTATTTTGTTAACTGGGGAAAAACAGCTTACAAATAATTTTGATATAGTCTTTTAGATGATAAAGACTTAATTAAAGGGAGACAACTCAATTAATTTTCCTGTCCCATTCCATCAACTAGGCTGTGTTTGGATATACACCTAAGGCGGCTTATGGTTACCCATGGTTTGATAATTTGATATATGAAATATTAAACCATAGGTGCCCAAAGGTACCTAAGGGTAACCATACACTGTAGGCCGCCTCAGGCATATAACCAAACACAGCTCTAATTTACCTGTCCCGTTCCATAACAAATGTCCCCTTTTCCCTCCTAAATGAATACCTTACATGGTCAATTTTATTTTTATATTCACATTTGAAGTTAAACTTAATTTAGATAAAGCAAGCTCTTGTGTTGTATTCGAATGATCTGTATCTAGTCTTAAGTCCCTTTACTTTTAGAAATTTGTTGTACCCCAAGACACAGTTCTTGGACCTCTATTGTTCCTAGGGGCCATGGTGGCTGAGTGGTCTAAGTAGTTCATCTACAGTATCAATAGCCTGTCAACAATGAGGTTGTGAGTTCAAACCCTGCACTATTTGTTATAGTTTAACTATATTTGGTGTATAGACATGATAGAATTCATGTCAGTTTGACAGAAATAATCTGACTTTGAACTTATTTTATGGTTCTTTGGTCATTGCTTAATTTTTTGAGATTATTGGTTGATTGATCATGTTGATTGTTGTTTGCTTAATGTCCAGTGTTTTAAGTCATTACATCTGTTTTTCAGATGTAACTACAATGTACTGTATAAGTAATAGGTCAATTATATGAAGGATTGTAAAATGTACGTACATGTCCATCTGTCAGTGGTAAACTGACATTGACCTTACTTTTATGGATCATTAATAATGTATAGTTCTGTAATATCTGTAGTCATGTAGTAAGACCTTAATCTTGAAGACTTTTAAAATAAAAGTTAATTATCATCTGTTACGCAGGAGAGATATTACAGCATGTGCACTGATATTTTTATTCTTTCACATATTGAGAGAAATTTTAGTTTCGAATCGAGCCTGTAGTAGCTTCAGAAGGTATTGTCATAGTAAAAACCTGGCAAAAATAATATGTCCAGTCTTTGTCTGCATCCAGTATCGTAACTTTTCTTACCCTTAGTACCTGTAGCTGAAAGCTATGTAATTATAGAATATTTCCAAAAATCTTGACAGTTCATCTGGAGCTTGCAAATTACCATATTACCATGTGCAATACACGAACAGTATTTAACTGAAGGGGCTTTTAGTTAACAAACAGATTTAATGTACAATGTAAAAAGTACAATGTTTAGCACGATAGTTTTTTTTTTTTTCAGGGACTCAAGAATACTCTACAAGTTATGGATGAGGAAATGCCACGTACAGAAGGAGCTATTAGTAACAGACAGTCTTTAATGAAAGAATTGCACATTGAAAGACTAATGAAAAGAAATAAGGTCAGTTTGAATGTGTTAATATATCAAATAGATAGTTAATTCTTCCTGAACAAGCTAAATAAGAGCGCTGTTCTTTTGTTTTTTGTGTGTTTTTTGCTGTGCATGTACTGATTTTGTGTCATGGATGGATACCCCATATCCTTTGTTTTTCTATTCTATTAAAACAAATATTTTTGCATGAAAAAATAATACAACTGGTTATTTCAAAATCTCATCTACCCGGTGATTTTATGTAGACAGGATAAAAAACACAATTTTTTTTCCTCCATGTGTAAATAAATAGATAAATTTGAATTTTATCATGTTTATCATGTTTATGCTCAGAATAAATCTGCACTTGACAAAAGACACTTTATTGAACCAACACTTTCTCTTCCTGACAAATTGTTTGTTCTGTCTTACATTCAATTTGAAGCAACCTCTTTTGTACCACATAGTTGTGTGTTCCATCTTACATTAAGTGGACCAACACATTCTGTACCTGCCAAACTGTGTGTCCTATCTTAAATTCAGTGGATGTACGTATACCCTATTTTTTCCTCCTAAACTGTTTATGCAATCTTACACCAATGGACCTTCCAACCATTTCTTTATCTCAAGCACTATGTGTCCCATCTTAATTCAATAGACAAACCCTTTCTTTACCTCATAGACTGTGTGTTTCCCATCTTGCATTTAGCTCACCAACCATTTCTCTACCTCATAAACTTTGTGTCCCATCTTAAATTCAATGGACCAACCTTTTCTCTACCTCATTAACTATGTGTGACATGTAAATCATAAACTCAATGGACCAACCTTTTCTCTACCTCATTAACTATGTGTTACATGTACATCTTAAACTCATTGGACCAACCTTTTATGTACCTCATAAACTATGTGTCCCATTTAACATTTAAGAGACCAACCCTTTCTTCACCTATGAACTGTGTCCCAATATACATATATATTCAATGGACCAGCTGTTTCTGTACCTAGCAAAGTGGATACCAATATATATATATAGACAAAAACAGCCAAGGAGATAGTAATAAATTCATTTTTATAAGAGTTCAGTGGAGATTTTGGTAATGGACTATTCTAAATTTATTTTGGCACAGTTGTTCAGGAGTCATATCAAAAGTTGATAACAGTGGATGTTTCTTAAGATCCGCTTTTAGAATTAATGGAAATTTCTTATTTTTAAGTGCCAATCTGCCTAAGAATCAGGCAGTGGTGAAAACATGACAAACAAAAACCCACTCAAGTTGACATTGATTTATGTTCAAAATGTATTTCAAGATATAATTTGGTTGAAATGCACTAAAAATTAACAATTAAGGGGAGCTAACTCCGTAATTTGCTATCATTCTAACCAAAAGTTATCTAGAGAATTCTCAAATTACTAGACACGCAGAAACGAGAGACCTACCATTTCTTATTCAGGATGAGGGTAACTTCAAAATAGGATGGTTAGGTCGGTGGGTTTTTTTTTCGGCCATGTTTTGATTTTTTTCAAAATTGCCTGATTCTTACAAAGACTGGCACTTAAATTTGTATGAATTAAAAGAGATGTTGAATATACATCAATAAGACAGCAACCCAATGTCACAAAAAGTATCTGGAAGTAAATAGACAGTCTTCAACAATAGACACCAGGCAGGTGCTGTATGACCCTTATTCATGATATAATACAAATGTCATAACAGACAATACCAGTATTTATATACATATTTTAGAAACAGCAAAGACATTGAAAAATGAAATATCACACAATACAACATAGAAAAACTAAAGCAAATACAAACCCAATTATGAATAGGAAATATTAAGAGAGCAATATCTTCTTGTAATCAAATATAATCATTAAGCACTGTCTCATTAACACTGGATGGTTATATTGGTATCATATTGATGTATATGTTAGATTCAATGTTTATGTTTTCATATTCCCAGGAGAGAGATGATCCTTTCAGAGCTATGTTAGAGATAATCATTGCCAGCTTTGTTGAGAATGGAGTCAGTCAGCCAAAGTCTGAAAGTAGACCATCTACAGCCCAGAGAACAAAGCCTCCAGACATCCTAGATATCAGTCCTGCAGCCGACAGGCCAACTTCTCCTGCTGAACAGAGGCAAAACAGGGTATCATCTCAACCTGCAAAGAAAAGTATATATTTATTTTTTATTTTATGAAATGCTTTTTTTTTTTTTTGCCAAACCTAGGGGCATTATGTTTTTCGGTCTGTGTGTCTGTTCGTCCGTCCGTCTGTCCCGCTTCAGGTTAAAGTTTTTGGTCAAGGTAGTTTTTGATGAAGTTGAAGTCAATCAACTTGAAACTTAGTACACATGTTCCCTATGATATGATCTTTCTAATTTTAATGCCAAATTAGAGTTTTGACCACAATTTCACGGTCCACTGAACATAGAAAATGATAGTGCGAGTGGGGCACCTGTGTACTAAAAAAATGGACACATTCTTGTTGTTTAATACATATGTAACACTCAGAAACGTGTCCTTCCCCCCAAACGTGTCCGAATCCCCCAAACGTGTCCATATGACGTCGCTGAACTGCAAAACATGTCTAGTTGTAAATGGGCGCTAAAGCATGTCGTTTGTATAAACGCCCAAACGTGTCCAATCTCCCAAACGTGTCCATATGAAGCCTTAATTTTTCCTTTCTCTGAAAACTCAATCGTGTCCATCTTATAAAAAGTAAAATAACAAAATTACAGAACTCCCAAAGATGTCCCCCGTTATTTGGTTATTGCGCTTTCATTGACGTATACTCCTTTCACTATTTCATTGCAAATTGAAATATAATAGTCCTTTAAGTCTTTTTCAAACTAACAGTATAACCCGTGCGGAAGTGGGGCCTCCGTTCGGCTGTGCGGGATGTTAAAGTACGCAGCCATGTCATGTTATAATGTGGATATTAAATCAGATACCTCGTGTAGGGAGAATGCCCTCTCTCTGCACATTAAAATCCTTGTAACAACGCTTTCAGGATGCCGTCGGTGGTATGCTGCAAGGCAACATTTTTGTCCCCATCCATATACCCTTATTATCTAGTGGCAATTAGAATTTCCCCAACTTTTATTTCAAACGGCCTCTATTTAAAGAAGGGGAATGAAGGAGTGTCATACTGAAGTCCCGAAAAAAAAGCGGTCTTTCCCCGCTCCCAAAAATTATTATTTAATTCCGAGTGAGTCCCGAATAGTGCAAATTCCTATTATAACCGTACAAATTTAGGCCGAATCCCAAATTCCCGGAATGATAATGGCACAATCCAAAGTTTCGGAAATTATTCTTATAGAACCTACCTATAGTATTTGTTGTTAATATGTTGTCGTCATGATAATGCATGAAATATTTTCCACTGAAAGCAATGTCTCTTGTTTGTGTGTCTTTAAGCATTGTTAAGTGATGCTCGAAACCCAAAATTTATATAAAAAAAAACAACCGAATACCAGTTTATAATTTCAAGAGCTTTTAAAGAAACAGAACTGTTGAAAAAAAATGGAAAACACTTCTGCAGGAAGCCGGCAATATCCTCATACTAAAAGTACATGATTAATATAGTAAGGCATTACCGCAGTTTATTAGTACAAAATAATTTACTTCTTTCAACTTTGTTCCTTTTTAATTACCGGTAATTTTGCCCCAAATACTTCAGGATTTATGTCTTTTGAATGCGGATTTTATCTTATTTAGGATCCAACCGAAACCCGACATCTTCAGTCGTGTCCCCTATCTGTTCTGTTCTGTTCTGGTATATTCCTCCGTTTTATCGGAGCACTCCACTTATCGAATCAGTATTAGAATTTTAAATACTTAACCGAAAAAGCGGATATTTTTATATTTACGATATGAAAAATATAATTTTAAAATAAAATTAGTTTGTTAAAGTGAATAAAATAAAAGTTTATAATGTCTTTGATGATATAAAAATCATATATTAAAAGATTAATACAAAAAAAAAAAAAATATTATTCACACATCACCAATTACGGCACTTTGATTCACCAATATGAATAAATAAAAAACAATTACAACCTAATGATTTCTATTCAATAGGTGCCCTGCCAAGGCAAATGTTAAAATTATATAGTATTATCTTTTATGCTGATATTTATAGACTGAACCAGTTAGCTTGGCATCCCATGCAGACTGTTCAGACTATATTTAATATTACTGTTCTATTTTCATGTCACTTGATATCACATAAAAGTTGTGTACGCTTCATGTGTAAATGGTAGCATAAATCTTGTGTCTTCCTTTCTATATCTAGCAACTTGTCTATTGGTTGATTACTCATTATGTCTAGTGCTGAGCAGTCTAGTATAATTTTGAGTAATAGTTCATTATTAATAACATTTGTTGTACCACCCCTTTCTATTTCTTGTAGCATTTTGAATAATTTATCCATATATCGCTGCCTAACATCAGATAGACTTAAGCAATGTAGTAGGAAATGTAATGTTCCAAGGTTTCATCAGATTCATTGCATAGCTTGCAATTTGGTTGAATAGCATTTTTACTAAATTTTGCCCTAGTACTTTGGAGCATGTAGGTACCAGTTACTAGCTTACATTTGAATTCTGCCTTTTTTATGTCATACATATATATATTGGTTATTTCTAACACATTTCCAAATGTTATGTGGATTATTGACCGAATTTTTTTGAAGAGATAAATGTTTAAGTGTTGATTTTGTGTTACATTCTATTGTCCAAATTGAAGACCAGTATTCATTTATTGATGTTTTCAATTGTTTTTTCTACATATATTTTGATGGAGGATGTTCCATAATTTCTTCTGCTTTTGGCAATTGATATTTTTGCAAAATTTTATTTATACGACAAATAAAAGAGTTGTCAAAATTTGAACTAATTTCCATGAAATTGCCGTGAACGTAATTGACGTCACTGAGAACATAATAGCGCTAAAAGTTTTGAGACGTTCAGGCGTTTTAAAGTGGACACGTTTTGGCGAATAACAATTATCGGACACGTTTGGGGGTTATGAAATTGGACACGTTTGGGCAATATTGAATATTACAGACACGTTTGGGGAGAATAGACACGTTTGGGGGAATCGGACACGTTTGGGGGGATGGACACGTTTGGGAGTGTTACACATATATTTTGTATTTCCAAACTTTTCAATACTAGATATGTCCACAAAGGCTTGCAGATTAAAAACTTTCCATCTTCGGAATTCTGTTTTCTTCAAAAAGTTCACAGAAACATTGTTTTATATAAGAACCAGTATAACATGTTCTCTAAATTTTATTTTCTGACTTTCTTTAAACTATGTGTTACAGCTACAACAGTTAAATCTGGGGACTTACTTATTGAGGATGATGTAGAAAGTCACACAGTTCTTGGTGATGGTAAAGCTGGACTTATGGACACACCAATTGTCAGTGAGATAGACCCTCCACATAGAACACAAACTAGACCAAGAAGTGCCAAAGTCAAAAATATGGGTGGTCCAATTTCTTCAAATTTAGATGTATGTATTATGTATGTTTTGTCATCCAAGTTAATACAACTAATAAACAAATAAAAAATATTAACATTATATACAGTCAGACCTGGGTAAACCGTACCCTGAATAAACCGGTTTCCAGTCCATTCCGGCTGAAAATTGAAGTTTCCAAATTCCAGTCTAATTATGCAGTTCCAATACTCTTTAAATACATTAATTATTACCTGTCAAAACCTGTTTATTTAATTCATTTAACATGTTAACAGTATTGATTGACATGCAATCAAAACAAAATTTTTTTACACAAGAGGTTTGTTTAGGTTAATCAATTAGCAAGGTGTCAAACCTTGAACTTAAGTATTGAGCGTTTTTTTATTGAAACCCTATTACAGTTTCAATAAAAGAAACTAAAAGAAACAATTTGAATGTATTGTTGACTAATATATCTTGGCTGAAACTTTTGTTACAACATTGATAAAAGTTTTAAATAGCGGAGTTAGAAATTGACATAGTGATTTCGAAATGCTGTAACCTGTTGTGAACCCCGAAACTGATGACCCTGATGATGGAGAAGAACCGGATGACGACATTTCATTGCTGAGTTTATGGGTATGGTCAGAGACATATATACACATGTGTATAGACATATATACACATGTGTATAGACATATATACACATGTGTATATAGACATATATACACATGTGTATATATGTCTCTGGTATGGTACATTGTATGACAATGTTTCGATCATGATGAAATTTCGTTTGATAAAATTCTTGCTTTTTTTATCGGCTATTCCAACGTAGGAAATAAACGATGGAAGTAAAAGAAACTTGTTGAACAATTCAAACAACGTAAGAATTCTGATGCAAATGAAAGTGAGACTGAGAGCCTGATGCTACCAAGGCCGATTTGACATACAAGGATATGTAAAAAAAACTGTTATTATATTATTTTTTTTAATTCGGGGGACAACCGATTTCTGAAATTTCTAAAGCCAATAAATACAATTACTGAAAACATGATCTTGCGTAGTAAAATGGTGAAAAGGCACGGAACAATTGTAATGTTCATGTCAAAATATTTTCACACAAATCAAGACATAACTTTTAATAAATAGATTATTACGGTATTTGTGTTTATTAATTTACATTTTACAATGAGACAGAACTTTTACTTGCAAAATATCTGATGTCAAATGTCAATAATTTCCTATCAATACGGAAACCCTGAATAACCCGACCCACTGTCCAAACCGGCCCTTTTCATAGTCCCATAGGAGGCCAGTTTATACAGGTTTTACTGTATTATATTTTACAGCTGTAGATGTCCATTGAATACTTACATGCACTAGATGCAAAATAAACGCTTGCCATATTGTATTGACACGTGTCTGTTGTTGAATACCTGCAGTCTGTTGACCTCTAGATTTCTTTGTTTTCATGTTTTTGGGTTGGTATTTTTATTAACCATTATTCAACTTCTCCTTTTATTCCCAGGGGTGAGTCTGTGAAATAGAGATATATGTTTATTTTAATTCAGTATGAAACAAAGGAAAATAAATTGGTAATTTTTTTTAAGTCAAATACCGTTGAATATAAAACTTCTAAAAAAACAGTTTATGATGGATAACTATCAATTTCAATTTTATTATTATCAGTATCTTATAACATATTTCTGAAAAATGAAATATTTGCTGCCATTTTTACTATTTCAATATTGCAAAATCCTGTCATAGAAAAACTAATACTTAATTTCCATAGCATTAATTATTTGATTAAAATGATGTGGTGATATATAATTAATACAGGGTACCTTGTTTTTACACATATCTAATATAAGTTTCATTATTTACTATTTCCTTCTCAATTTTCTAGTTTTATTGAAAAGAAGCTTTGATTGATTGATTGATTGGTGTTTAACACAGCATTCAACACTATTGTGATATTTCATGGTTGACCGCTCGGCCACTGAGGCCCCTAGTTCTGATTGAAATATGGCTGTTAACATCTCATTTCAAAATAAGTTTACTATATAATTAGTAACTGTTATTTGATATATTTTTCAGACTCTAGGAAAAGGCAGAAACTTTCACAAGCCACGACCATTGTCATCATCTGGAAGAGGTGGGAAAAAACTCGATCTTTCAGATTTGAATTCAGGACCAGATATTATGAAAAGTAATAAACTGTCTTCAGATTTAAATAATGAAAGTCTAACAGTAAAAAAAATGGTTCCTGAATCGAAAAGAGAAAATCCAAGAATGATTCATGTGAGCCCTGAACCAATTATTGAAAATATTGACAATTTAATTAAGAAAGAAAGAAAATCTTCCATCCAGGATATTTTAGAAGTTGATGCTTCAGAATCCCGTCCCAAGTCCTCAGTTGGTCGACCAAAATCTAACAGAAGGCAGCAAGAAAAAGAACCAGTTCACTATAGTATAGAGGACTCCAGTATTCTACAGAGGCCTCCAACTAGAGGGGTCCTTGAAAGGTGATTAATACAATGAAATTTAAATTTCTTATAAAAATATTGCTGGTTATTAGTCCCCTACTGACGAAGTCGAAGGGGACTTAAGGTCTGTCTGTCTGTCTGTCTGTCTGTCCATCCGTCAGTCCGGCAAATCAGTTTTCCACACTTTTTTTCTTCGTGCTTGAAGATATTGATTTGATATTTGGTGTATTGTTTAATCATGACAAGTTACAGATCAAGTTCGAATTTTGTTCTATTCTGATGATTTTGTGCAGAGTTATGGTCCTTGGACTTAGAAAATTCAATTAAATTATCATTTTCCACTTTTTTTTTGTCATGCTTGAAGATATTGACTTGATATTTGTTATAATATAGTTTACATGGAGACAAGTTATAGATCAAGTTAGCATTTTGTTCCAGTACAATGAATTTTTAACCGGTAGGGGACTATGTATTGCCATGCAATACTCTCAGAATGCTTGTTTCTTTTAGATCTATTTCAGAGTTTATCTCAACAGGTGAGACATTATTGATACCTTAACTTTAACATTTATCCCCTTTTTGAATGCAGGTTCTTTATTTGATGATTATGTTTTAGTGTGTAGGATAATTTCTGTTTCTCAGTATCATTGCATGATAAGATAGCACTATCAATTTTAGTGCAATGTATATTATACATGTTATATGTTTTATGTTAATGCTTAGTCTGAATATAATTAAGGGAATGAATGTTTTTTTGAATATTTAACTTCTTGCTTCTTGCCATTTATGCATTGTAAATGAATTATAAATTTAACAATAATGTGGTAATTCATTGTACTGTTTATACAGAGGTATATTTCAGGACATCGTCATCTTCATCATTAAAGAGTGCCAAAAGTTCAACTTCTAAAGTTGGTGATGTAGAATTTGGAGACGTTGATGATTTAGATAACGAACTTGCTGATTTACAACTTGGTCCAGCTATGCCATCTTCACGCCCCATACAAAATTTAACAGACGCTCGTCCAATCATATTACAAACTGCTATTAACTTGAAAACTGTAGTTTTTGGCTCTGCCAATCAGAACTTTAATGATGAATGGCGATATCAAAGTTTTACATTTTGTGATATTCCTAAGTTACAGTATGGTCTTGTCCAGAAAAAGGTAAGATAAATAATGGAGCATATAGGGTTGAGTATCAAGTATAAACAGTTTATTTAAAGTCTGTCCTCAAAATAAAAGTTAATGTAGCTCTGTAGAGCTTTTAAACACCATATCATATGTATACTAATTATTTTACATGTTATTCCTAGTGTACAAATGGCCTTGTTCATATCATTGTATGTATTGCACACTCAATAGATAGGGATCAATAGTCATTGTTTTGGGCAGTCCTGTAATATGCATTGTCTGTCTTTGATACATCTCTTTTAAATATGGATGTCCTCCTCACATATGATCTTTTTAATCTGGATGTCCTCCTTGCATATGGTCTTTAAATTTATGGCTATTTAATTGAGTGAGTAACTATGGCAGGCGACACTTATTTTCCAGGGAAGACTTCTACCTGACTTGATTTAAATTTCTATTACTCCATGTTAGGTTGACTTTGTAATGACATTAGATTAAATATCTGTCTATGTATTATTTGAACCATGTAATATCATCTTGTAGTTTCTGTACATCATTGTAGGGTGGATCATGTGGTGTTATGGCTGCTATTCAAGCTACGGTATTACAAACTTTATTGTTCAAAGATGGTAGAATTCCACTCAATAGGTTGTAAGTATTATTTGTTTCAGATAAAAATAGTAAAATTGAAAAAATACAAACTTATCTTCTTTTCAATACACACAGTTGAGTCAAACATGTTTATTTAAGGATGTTATTTTTGCAACACAATGTTTTATTAATTCCCTAGACAAGAAAGAAATTAGGTTCCTAGGAACTGTATGATATACAAAAGAAACACAATGGACATACAGGGCAGGGTTAAAGTTGGTTTCTGTTCACTGTAGAGAGTGTGACAGACAAAAACTACTTTGTGTAACGGAGCAGAAAACTTCAGCCTTTATATTAATTCTATATATTATACTTGAATTGAAAACGGTTTTAAAACAGTTTTGTTATTATTTCTTACAATTATCAGGTGTACTAAAGCATTTCCCCTACCCCGAAAAATTACTACAAATTTTTTTTTCTCGATCAAATCGGATTTAAAAAGAATTCAAACTGACATTTAGAATTTTGATACCATTTTATATTTGTAAGTTGTTAAATCCAATCATTTTACATAAATACTTCATGCATCTATAAATGAAATCTGTGGTAAATGAAAATTTTTCCAGGCAAATTTTTATTTGAAGCATTTGAAGGATTTAGATTTTTCTTCACACTAAATGAACACTGACTGTTTAAAGATGAATGCTAATTTCTCTGGCCACTGTCAGCCAATTAAAAAGTTTAACAAAAGGCCTATTTGTCACCAGAGTGTTAACTGAATGCAACTTACAAGTAGTTCAAAATTTGTGACCAGTTTTGGAGATAATAGTTTTCCATATGAATAAAGCTTTAACCACAATAGCCAAATGTTTAATTTTCAGATAATTAAATTTTGAAAAACTTACTGGCTGAACACTTTGCTTCACCTTTTTAGCTCACCTGGCCCAAAGGGCCAAGTCAGCTTTTCTCATCACTTGGCTTCCGTCGTCCGTAAACTTTTACAAAAATCTTCTCCTCTGAAACTACTGGGCCAAATTTGACCAAACTTGGCCACAATCATCATTGGGGTATCTAGTTTAAAAAATGTGTCCAATGACCCGGCCAACCAACCAAGATGGCTGCCATGGCTAAAAATAGAACATAGGGGTAAAATGTAGATTTTGGCTTATATCTCTGAAACCAAAGCATTTAGAGCAAATCTGATATGCAGTAAAATTGTTTATCAGGTCATGATCTAATTGCTCTGAAATTTTCAGATGAATCTGACAACCCTTTTTTGGGTTGCTGCCCCTGAATTGGTGATTTTAAGGAAATTTTGCCGTTTTTGGTTATTATCTTGAATGTTATTATAGAAAAGGGATAAACTGTAAACAGCAATAATGTTCAGCAAAGTAAGATCTACAAATAAGTCTCAGTTGACCTCTGAAGGAGTTATTGCCCTTTATAGTAAATTTTTAACCATTTTTCGTAAATTTTTATAATGTTTTACAAAAATCTTCTCCTCTGAAACTACTAAGGCAAATTTAACCAAACTTGTCCACAATCATCATTAGGGTATCTAGTTTTAAAAATGTGTCCGATGACCCCAACAGCGAACCAAGATGGCTGACATGGCTAAAAAATAGTACATAGTGTAAAATGCAGTTTTTGGCTCATATCTCTGAAATCAAAGCATTTAGAGCAAATCTGACAAGATAAAATTGTTCATAAGGTCAAGATCTATCTGCCCTGAAATTTTCAGACCAATCAGGAAACACATTGTTGGGTTGCTGCCCCTGAATTGGTAATTTTAAGAAAATTTTGCAGCTTTTGGTTATTATCTGGAATATTATTATAGATAGAGATAAACTGTAAACAGCAATAATGTACAGCAAAGTAAGATCTACAAATAAGTCAACATGACCAAAATTGTCAATTGACCCCTTAAGGAGTTATTGCCCTTTATAGTCAATTTTTTACAATTTTCATAAATTTTGTAAATTTTTGTAAATTTTTACAAAATATTTTCCACTGTAACTACTGGGCCAAGTTCATTATAGATAGAGATAATTGTAAGCAGCAAGTAAAGTAAGATCTACAAACACATCACCATCACCAAAACACAATTTTGTCATGAATCCATCTGTGTCCTTTGTTTAATATGCACATAGACCAAGGTGAGCGACACAGGCTCTTTAGAGCCTCTAGTTTTCAAATGATTTTGATTTAGTTTTTTCTTATTTCCAAAATTGCACAGCAGTATTAGTAGATTTGTTGCTATTTCTATTTGTCAGTGGAGAACCTACCAGTATGGAGAGGTCCACTGCTCTTACCATAGCTTTATCGTATTAATAGATTTGTTGCTATTTATATTTGTCAGTGGAGAACCTACCAGTATGGAGAGGTCCTCTGCTCTTGCCATAGCTTTATCATATTAATAGATTTGTTGCTATTTATATTTGTTAGTGGAGAACCTACCAGTATGGAGAGGTCCACTGCTCTTGCCATAGCTTTATCATATTAATAGATTTGTTGCTATTTATATTTGTCAGTGGAGAACCTACCAGTATGGAGAGGTCCTCTGCTCTTGCCATAGCTTTATCATATTAATAGATTTGTTGCTATTTCTATTTGTTAGTGGAGAACCTACCAGTATGGAGAGGTCCACTGCTCTTGCCATAGCTTTATCCAAGATTTTCTGGAGATGTGGTGAATTTAAAACTGCTGTTGTTGTAATGTAAGTCATTGTATTAACAAATATTTTAGTAGTTGTCGTACTATGGGTACATTTTTAACCGTAGTTTTCTTGGACGGCTTTCCTTGATATAGGTGAAAGATTAAGTTAACTGTTCAACGTAATACAAATTTTCTATAGGCTTGTATGCAGAATTTATGAAAATCATGAAATGAAGTATCCACAAAAATATAATTTTTCCTGAATCCACAGTATGTGTATTACATAATGGTATTTATGTAGACAGACAGAGATAACTGGAGTTATCATTCTTTGTTTTTGAAGTATTTATATGGTTTGGGTATCTAGTGTCCCTTTTTGCGACTAAAATGGTCTCAACCTCAAACTAGAATTCTAATGTAATTATTTTGTATCAATGGTTCTGATTGGATGACAGTAAGCGTAAAATTCTCTATCTCCTTGTCTGTAACTAAGGAAGCCGACATTTTGAATTGCGAAATGTATTGACATGTAATTTCTACAATAATAAGCAAAAAACTCACATGTTGAACCTAGAAATCTTCTTTTTATCAAATTTTATTACATTCTGAAGTGGTCAAGAAGCCAATAAACGCCTGGTGTTTACGTTTGACGCTGGAAGCATACCTACGACGTCACCTAGTTTAGGAGCCAAAGAAGATAACATCTTTTCGCGGAATTTTCTTTAATGAAAATTTTACACTGAAATAATGATTGAAATTGAATTATGTACTTGTTTTGCATTAGAATAGAGATAACTGTATTGTATTTGAAGCTTTGCGGACGTCCATCGGTAGTTTTACTGTTGCAAATACACGTTTACCTGTCTCCACTACGTGTCGCCAGGTAAACTAAATTTGCGACAGTAAAATTACCGATGGACGTCCTCAAAGCTTCAAATACAATACAGTTATCTCTTAAGTATTATTCAGATCCATTAGTTTTTGCAGAAAATGGCCAACTATCTAACCCTAAACAGCTTTCTCTCAGATTTGCATTCCAGGGTTCCTGGGTAGCTTGACTTTGTCTTTGTGCATCTTTACTTAGCTTCTTCCCTTTGTTGTGCAGCTAATCAATGATAACTTAGTCCTTTTAAAAGGGTTTGATTAGTTGGAATCCAGTCTTGCAAATTCTCTAAAAATCTGAAGGCTACGGCACGCAAAATATCCAACATGGTTTACAAATTGTGATTCAGTTGTCCGACAGGTTTGTTGATACTTTTTTATCGACTGTGGACTTTTATTTTATGTCATTGTTCGTTCAGTGTTTTTAATAATAAATGATTATATTATACTGCTTTACATGGGAACTTCAGAGTATTGTTTGTTATGATCACTAGTATGCATACATATTTGTAAAGTGTGTATCTCATAGTTGGCTTACTTTGAAAAGGAATAATTACCCTGATGTTTCATGTAGATCATATGCTGGAATGGCTTTTAATAAACTGCAGATCCCCAACTTTCAAAATCACCTACCTTTTCTAAGTGAAGTAGTCATATTGATGCATAAAAATGTTTAACAGAAGCAAATGGTCAATGTGAGACAAATCTGCATAAATAAAAAGCAAAAGATGAACTAATAATATTTATTTCATATACTAATATTATGTGTGTTTTAAATTAGCAATGAAGTAAGCTCAATAGTCCGTGCTGTTATAATAACTAATTTTGATTATTGTATATTACTGTTTCAGGCCATCAGGGAAATCTCAGTTCCAAGGCAGTAGTAATAAATATAAATATGATGATTTTACTGAAACTGTAAGTATGTGTAATGCAATTTATTTTTTGACGATTTGTTTAACTGGGATACTGCATGAAAAATGGAATATTTTCAGCATTAAATTAGTGTAAAATTTATTTAAGTTTAGATGATTGTTAGTTTACCCATGTTAAATCCTCCTCTCTTTTAATCTCCATCTGTGGAATAAAAAAATGCATAGAAAAACACTCATAAAAACAATTTAGAAAAAGCACTTAACTTAATAATGTAGTATTACAGACGACAATAAGAAAAAGCTGTAAGTAAGTCATTAAGAAATAAGAACACAGGTTTTTATGAAACTGCTATTTTTATTAGAATTATCAATTTTAATACAGTCAAAGTCAAAATATTATTCATGTTATTAGGGATAGTTTTCTCATTAGCAATCATAACACATCTCCTTATTTTTATACAAATTTTTTTCCGCATCTCCTTATTTTTATATAAAAATTTTTTCTAACAAAATGTAAAAGATCACATGGATAGCTTATAATACTCCAAAGATGTCCAAAAGTACTTATAGCTAGTTAAATCATCTTTAGTGTGAGTAATTGTTCAGAGAATTTTAAGAGAATACAAAAGCAAATGTGTCATTTTGTATGTTTTTTGTAGTAAGATACTTCCAAATTCCATGAGTTTTCTTCTTTTGTAGTTAATGATCAACCATTTTAAAACCTATGAAGACCTTCAGAGTTTTGTGTCACAAAATATCAGACAGGTTAGTATGATATATCTTATATCTTTATTTTCTCAATATTTACACAGAAATGTTCATAGTAATTCAGCTTAGATACTATATTGTCCAAATATTTACACAGAAATGTTCATTGTAATTCAGGCTTAGATACTATATTGTCCAAATATTTACACAGAAATGTTCATAGTAATTCAGCTTAGATACTAAATTGTCCAAATATTTACACAGAAATGTTCATAGTAATTCAGGCTTAGATACTATATTGTCCAAATTGTCCAAATATTTACACAGAAATGTTCATTGTAATTCAGGCTTAGATACTATATTGTCCAAATATTTACACAGAAATGTTCATAGTAATTCAGCTTAGATACTATATTGTCCAAATATTTACACAGAAATGTTCATTGTAATTCAGGCTTAGATACTATATTGTCCAAATATTTACACAGAAATGTTCATAGTAATTCAGCTTAGATACTAAATTGTCCAAATATTTACACAGAAATGTTCATAGTAATTCAGGCTTAGATACTATATTGTCCAAATTGTCCAAATATTTACACAGAAATGTTCATTGTAATTCAGGCTTAGATACTATATTGTCCAAATATTTACACAGAAATGTTCATAGTAATTCAGCTTAGATACTAAATTGTCCAAATATTTACACAGAAATGTTCATAGTAATTCAGGCTTAGATACTATATTGTCCAAATATTTACACAGGAATGTTCATTGTAATGCAGGCTTAGATACTAAATTGTCCAAATATTTAAGCAGAAATGTTCATAGTAATTCAGCTTAGATACGAAATTGTCCAAATATTTACACAGAAATGTTCATAGTAATTCAGGCTTAGATACTATATTGTCCAAATATTTACACAGATATGTTCATTGTAATTCAGGCTTAGATACTAAATTGTCCAAATATTTACACAGAAATGTTCATAGTAATTCAGGCTTAGATACTATATTGTCCAAATTGTCCAAATATTTACACAGAAATGTTCATTGTAATTCAGGCTAAGATACTATATTGTCCAAATATTTACACAGAAATGTTCATAGTAATTCAGTTTAGATACTAAATTGTCCAAATATTTACACAGAAATGTTCATAGTAATTCAGGCTTAGATACTATATTGTCCAAATATTTACACAGAAATGTTCATTGTAATGCAGGCTTAGATACTAAATTGTTCAAATATTTAAGCAAAAATGTTCATAGTAATACAGCTTAGATACGAAATTGTCCAAATATTTACACAGAAATGTTCATAGTAATTCAGGCTTAGATACTATATTGTCCAAATATTTACACAGATATGTTCATTGTAATTCAGGCTTAGATACTATATTCATGATATTGTCCAAATATTTACACAGAAATGTTCCAAGTAATTCAGGCTTAGATACTATATTGTTCAAACATTTACACAGAAATGTTCATAATGATTCAGAATTTGGATACTATATTGTCCAAATATTTACACAGAAATATTCATAGTAATTCAGGCTTAGATATTATATTGTCTAAATATTTTCTATCTGGTAATTTTTGTGTATTTCAGTTTGAATGTGATGGAACTGGAGGTGCTATATTGTGTCTTTATTCTGCTGTCTTGTCTCGTTATATTGATCTGTAAGTTTGTATTCAGCTGTCCTGTCTCGTTCTATAGATCTGCAAGTCTTAATACATATGCCATAACATGATTTACAAATCCTTTCCTATTTGCAAAAGTAAATAAAGCAAATGTTAGCTTTACAAATTTGATGACTAAAACTTTAAACATCATTTAATTCTGTGCAAAATGTCTTTATGCAATGTAACCTTATTATAAGTCAATCACAACTTAACTTTCATTTAAAAAAATCATAAACAACACTAACAAGAAAACATTTCAATGGGGGAAAAATCTTAATACTAGTATTACTGTGACCTAAAATATCTTGTTTGTGTGTTAATTATGTGTGTTGTTTATTTATATTTTGTTTGATTATTGACAGAGTCAAGAGTGATATGGATGAGCCAACAGGGAAGTTAATGGGAGCTCATGGTTACTGTACTCAGGTATTGATTAATTCACTGTCAAGTTAATGGGAGCTCATGGTTACTTTACTCAGGTATTGGTGAATTCACTGTCAAGTTAATGAGATCTCATGGTTACTGTACTCAGGTATTGATTAACTCACTGTAAAGTTAATGGGAGCTCATGGTTACTGTACTCAGGTATTGGTGAATTCACTGTCAAGTTAATGAGATCTCATGGTTACTGTACTCAGGTATTGGTGAATTCACTGTCAAGTTAATGAGATCTCATGGTTACTTTTCTCAGGTATTGATTAACTCACTGTAAAGTTAATGGGAGCTCATGGTTACTGTACTCAGGTATTGATTAATTCACTGTCAAGTTAATGGGAGCTCATGGTTACTATACTCATGTATTGATTAACTCACTGTCAAGTTAATGGGAGCTCATGGTTACTGTACTCAGGTATTGATTAACTCACTGTAAAGTTAATGGGAGCTCATGGTTACTGTACTCAGGTATTGATTAATTTGTTGTTAAGTTAATGAGATCTCATGGTTACTGTTCTCAGGTATTGGTGAATTCACTGTAAAGTTAATGGGAGCTCATGGTTACTTTACTCAGGTATTGATTTATTCACTGTAAAGATAATGGGAGGTCATGATTACTGTACTCAGGTATTGATTAATTCATAAATTCGTAAAGGGGGAAATCTTTAAGGGCTTATTTTCACTTATATTGCAATTGAGATAAATACCTTAATTTACCTTGTGTAAATTTGGTCTTTGAGGAAGATCAGAATCATGTACAAAATGCAAAAATAAAGCTTCCCAAAAAATGTTGGTCCGAATAAAGTAATGTAAACATTTGAAGTCATTTAACAGCACGTTCTTAACCAATCTAAGCAACATTGATTCAGTATTTTCACTGGCAAAGGAGTACCGTTATATCCTCCAGCAGGTTGTCATTGCTATATGATTGGTTCAGTATCAATGTTCACTGGTTTTACAATCAGAATGTGATGCTCTGTTTACTTTATATTACGACTATTACTTTGCAAATTTTACACTTTACAATAATTTATCTAGACTGATTTTTGTAAGACTAAATGTACATATAATATTGTATAATGCTGTTTCATTTCAGGATTTGGTAAATTTACTGCTGACTGGGAAGGCAGTGTCTAATGTGTTCAATGATGTGATGGAATTGGAATCAGGTGATGGATCACCCCCAATGGTTCTCAAAGGCATCAGTGGGAGGAGTGATGTAGGACTGCTTTCTTTATTTGAACATTATAGATCATGTCAGGTAAAGGTTAATGGACGTTCTAGTATGACACACTTATTTCACTTTGTAAATAAAGCCATGTTCTAATATGACACACTTGTTTCACTTTGTGAATAAATTAATGTTCTAGTATGACACACTTGTTTCACTTTGTGAATAAAGTTTTGTTCTTATATGACACACTTGTTTCACTTTGTGATTAAAACCATGTTCTTATATGACACACTTGTTTCACTTTGTGAATAAAGCCATGTTCTTATATGACACACTTGTTTCACTTTGTGAATAAAGCCATGTTCTTATATGACACACTTGTTTCATTTTGTGATTAAAGCCATAGATATAGGAAGATGTGGTATGAGTGCCAATGAGACAACTCTCCATCCAAGTTACAATTTATAAAAGTAAAGCATTATAGGTCAAGGTACGGCCTTCAACACGGAGCATTGACACACTTATTTTACATGGTAAATAAAGCCATGTTCTTATATGACACATTTATTTCACTTTGTAAATAAAGCCATGTTCTTATATGACACACTTATTTCACTTTGTAAATAAAGCCATGTTCAAATTCCAATTAAACATGGAGTGTAAGAAAAATTGTTACTCTTTAAGTTAAAACTTTAGTTATAGCTCTTCGGTTTTTTTTTAGAATTTCAGTCCAGATGACGTATTCTAGTGCCCTTAATGGGTACATAATATATTGCAGGTTTAGATTTTCTATAATACACTATAGTTGCCAAATGATAATGTATTCCAGGTTGGAACGTTCTATAAGACACCAAAGTTTCCTATCTGGGTAGTATGCAGTGAGAGTCATTTCAGTGTGTTGTTCTCTATAAATAAAGACTTAGTTAATGACTGGAAAGCTGAGAAACGATTTGATTTGTATTACTATGATGGATTAGCCAGACAACAAGAAGTCATTAAACTGTCTATATGTAAGTACTCCTGCCGGCAATAGTTTTGTCTTCAAAGATTTACAAATACCCACATTGTATTGCAAGCTCTGAATCACGTTAATCTTAACAAACTGAATAAATTCAAAAAGAGACTATCAAATAACCTACACTTACACCAAAATAGACAAAAACATGAGACAGCTAATAACCACATATGAGAATCCAGACTTGGGGACAGTTTCACAAACATCTGGCATAGTTAAACTTGTTAAATGGTAAGCCAACTCTCTTAATATTGTTTAGATCAGGGGTGAGAGATAAAACAACTTATTGATAGTGAAAGCAAGTTCTGAGTACTTAACCTGTTTATTAGAGATCATGCCTTCATTTCATATATATATAGGGAAGAACAAAAAACTTGCGAAAGCAAATTTATAGATCTAACATTGTTAGGCTGATGTTTAGACGAGTTGTATATATATATATATATATATATCTTCATGCGATAAGTAAGCTGTCCATCCCTATGTCTGTATACTGAATTCAGGCTTGAATAGTCCACAGTTTTTTTGTCGAAAATTGAACTGGCCAGACAGGGGTGCGGATTATAGAATACGATAAGCAAGAAATAAGAGAAATTTCGATTTCGAAAGGTTTGTTTACGTTCCGCCATGTTTGTTATTGAAATTGTAGAGGGCGCTCTTATCATTTTCAAAACTAATAATCTACCATATCCATATTAATATGCAATTTTTATTCGATAACTAATATAAACTGATAAATTTCATTGATTAAATGCTTCATTACAATTTTTGGGTAAAGATTGCATGAAATGTAATCAAAACCCTATGGTACTGACTAGATATCTAAAATCTTCCAAGGTTTATCACTACTTTTGAGATACACAAAATATAGTGCATTGATCATAACATTCTAAACATCCCATCCATGAACATTTCCAGAAATTTATCAATGAAATACATGTATATGCTCAATTATTCAAGTTTCAAAATGATATTATACTTGTCAAGAAAATTACATAACTTGTGCAAGGTGCAGTAATCTAATATCTGTTCTAAAAATATCAATGATGTCATTGTTAAAAGTAATCTTTAAAATTTAAGTTATCTTCCTTTGTCCATATATAAAATGAAGTTGAATCAACTGCAACCAATGTTATTACAATGCAATGTTTAATTTTACTTCCCACTGATAAATTTAATCAATCTTTACCCTTCAGTGCTTACAAGCACTTTGATTTCCTTTCTTTTCACAGCTTTGCATAAAATAAACTGGAATCCACTTGAATTTAACGGAACGGAAAAAGTGTATAAGTCAGCCGGTAACCAGCTTATACATAACGATGTATAAACTACAAAACGTAATCGGTTATTCGTTTCGTTTTGGTGTTTCATACTGACACTTGTGTTTTCTTTTAGCTTAAGATCCTTCATACATTAATGTGATTGATGTGTTTAACAATATTTTACTTAAGGATGGAACTGTTTTGCTTTCAAAGTCGTATTCTAGTGATATCTATAAAGTACAGATTTTCCATACACTCTCACCTTATTTATTTTCATTTACACATGCTATTCGAATTTCCAGTTTAACAAACATAAGTTTCTCATGATTCTGACTTATTTTAACACTAGTGAAGTGTTCTAGAATCATTTACAAGCATTTTCAACTTCTATTTGATGATGGAAAATGGGTTTTTTCCATGAAAATACTGCAAACAATCACACACAATTCGAAATTACCAGAGTTTCATAAGACGTTTTCGATCAGTTACAAAAAGTTTTTTTACCTGAATTCTAGCGGCGAGAAGTGGGGTGCAGACATTGTACCAGTGCGAACTATACATGGCTGATTGCAGTATACATCAGCCCAATGAACATTTTTCTCATGAATTACAAATCAGAGGTTCCTGTAAGTTGATATCTGGCTTTATGTGAGCATGCTGGACTGTGTGATGGTTTTTTAGATTCAAAGCTTATCGGCTACCTGAATATTTATATATTCTAACACATTATGGTCATGTATTAAATTTTCATTGTATTTTTCTAGGAAATTACAAATGAGAGCTTCCTGAAATTTGTTATCAGGCTTCATGTGAACATGTTAACCATATAATGCATTTTCATACCCGTTGTTCTTCAATTTCTTTCTTACAGAATACTTAAAGCAGGGGTATCATTGTGAGCCAGTTCTACTTGTTGAATACTTAAAGCAGGGGTATCATTGTGAGCCAGTTCTACTTGTTGAATACTTAAAGCAGGGGTATCATTGTGAGCCAGTTCTACTTGTTGAATACTTAAAGCAGGGGTATCATCGTGAGCCAGTTCTACTTGTTGAATACTTAAAGCAGGGGTATCATTGTGATCCAGTTTTACTTGTTGAATACTTAAAGCAGGGGTATCATTGTGAGCCAGGTCTACTTGTTGAATACTTAAAGCAGGGGTATCATTGTGAGTCAGTTCTACTTGTTGTTTAAATAATTTCCTAAGTAATTTACTAAGAGTAGGAGAAAGGTACAATATTACTTGTATTACAGGTACAACAGATAGATCATACAAACCTCCAACTGGTGAGGAAGAACTGGTACCTCCAATTGATCATTGCATAAGAACAAAGTAAGTACCAGAATTTCAGAAGTGTTCAATTGAAACTGGCATTGAAAGTTGATATAAAGGAAACAACACATCAATCCAAAACTTGGAGACAGCAAACAAACATTGCTTTTATTGGTATGGAAAAGAGAGGGTATGGTATATCAATACATGACATGAAATCACTACACTCACATGAACAATACAAAAGCAAAGGAACAGTACTTTTATGGGTGTTCTTCATCTCAAAATCACAGTGGGGTCTTCATCATAGAGCAAAAATTTTCACCTGATTTTAAGTTGAAGACAGCTCCTATCACCCTCTTAAGCAGATTTCCTAGATGTCTGTCATGTTACGTTTCTGCATTGAGAAACACATCTCCAGGATAAGGTCTAAAAGTTTATAAAGAATATCTGGCGACGAAATCATACAATACAGTCATAGTACAGGTAGTTCTTTTATTTTTCATGTTTTTAATGAAATATGTAAGTTGATAATGTTTTTTTTAATAAAAAAAAAGAAATCCAAGAAAGATTAGACATCCATAATATATATCCTGCTATAACATGTTCAAATTGTTGCAACATATATAAAATCAACTTAATAAATTTCTTGGTAAATGACACAATTTAAGATTAATTCACATTTCCACTATTTTGTTAAAACAAGCTAATACATGTTCGTTCTTTGTAACAGTGTATAGTAAATTTCTTTCAGATGGACAGATGCCCAGATAGACTGGAATGGAACAGAACCTTTGTTATGATAGATGGATCAAATAATGATTGTGTCGGCTCCAAGATCAGTCCAGTGAACATTTTAAATTTATTTTTTAAAATCTTTAATACAATATAGTAGTAGTTCTGATAACATATAAACAATGGACTGTCTACTGATGTTTATATAATACACAAATAACATATAGACAATGGACTGTCTACTGATGTTTATATAATACACAAATTGGTTGTATTTTAATGAACAGTGGTCAGTCTATTCTATAGAAATTCTGTTAAAACCTGATAACTTTATTTCCTGCACAGACATATTTTTGTTGCAAGATAAAACTATAGATGCCTGCTATGAACACAATTGTCATTTGTTTAGAGTAATTTCCATTAAGCATCTTTTGATTGCTTTGCTTTATAACAATTTGTATTTTTGTATGCTGAGCTACAGTATTTGTCATTTAAAGAAGAAGATATGATGAGGCCAATAGTTAAAAACACTTCCTCTAAATGAACCAAAATTTAAAACATTTTTTTCATATATCATGTATATTGGTTATGAAATTGACATTTTAAGCCAGCCTGCAACCTCAAAACTAAATCCTTGAGTCCTTTGAGTATTTAAGAACAGTTCCAAAATTTGAGTTTTATCAAGTTTGTTGTAGTTATAATACAGTTTTATTTATCAACACTGCTGTAAGATTTTACCTTATAAGACATTGTTAACTTCTGACATTAGATTGTAGATTAAACAAGAAGAAAGGGTTATTAACTAATTAGTGAATCTCATATCATTGTATAATACCATCCATAGGATATAATGTTTTATTTATTAAAATTTTTTTCATAAATTGATCATATTCAAAACTGCATATTTCACTCTTTGATTTCTGTGTAAATGACCTAAGATTATCAAAATAAAAGCATATCAATGCAAGCATGATATATCACATATAGATATGACCAAAGATCATCAAATCAAAAATCAATATTTATTAGTTTAACCAATCAATGTCATAGAAATTTCCCCCCTTCAAATCATTGGTTCACAAATATTTGATAATATCTCGATATATGTATATATGAGCTGCGTCTGATAGAAATCGACCTAATGCAAATGAATATCAATACATCTGTCAACCTATATCGGGTTAAAAAATATCTACGGAAAATCTGTAACTGTATGAAAATTGAGTTGTTATAAGAACTCTACAAAACAGACCAAAATTCTTCTTTTATTTTGTTTTTTGAATGTTCTGAAATCAGTCAGAATCTTATACATGTACATGTATATGTGCACTTGCATAAGGTTGATTTCTATCCGTCGTAGCTCATATAATAATGTAATTTTTCATACTACATTCTGTATGTTCATTCAGATACAAATATTGGTCTATAGAAACTGCAAGTTCATTCCATGCTGGTTAAGTTCATCTTTTGTCAGTTTTTTAGCTCACCTGGTCCGTCGTCCGTAAACTTTTACAAAAATCTTCTCCTCTGAAACTACTGGGCCAAATTTGACCAAACTTGGCCACAATCATCATTGGGGTATCTAGTTTAAAAAATGTGTCCGGTGACCCGGCCGACCAACCAAGATGGCCACCATGGCTAAAAATAGAACATAGGGGTAAAATGTAGAATTTGGCTTATATCTCTGAAACCAAAGCATTTAGAGCAAATCTGACATGGGGTTAAATTGTTAATCAGGTCAAGATCTAATTGCTCTGAAATTTTCAGATGAATCTGACAACCCGTTGTTGGGTTGTTGCCCCTGAATTGGTAATTTTAAGGAAATTTTGCCGTTTTTGGTTATTATCTTGAATATTATTAGAGATAGAGATAAACTGTAAACAGCTATAATGTTCAGCAAAGTAAGATCTACAAATAAGTCAACTTGACCAAATGGTCAGTTAACCCCTTAAGGAGTTATTGCCCTTTATAGTAAATTTTTAACCATTTTTCGTAAATTTTTGTAATCTTTTACAAAAATCTTCTCCTCTAAAACTGCTAAGACAAATTTAACCAAACTTGTCCACAATCATCATTAGGGTATCTAGTTTAAAAAATGTGTCCGATGACCCCGCCCGCAAACCAAGATGGCCGACATGGCTAAAAAATAGTACATATGGTAAAATGCAGTTGTTGGCTCATATCTCTGAAACCAAAGCATTTAGAGCAAATCTGATGAGATAAAATTGTTCATTAGGTCAAGATCTATCTGCCCTGAAATTTTCAGACCAATCAGGCAACATGTTGTTGGGTTGCTGCCCCTGAATTGGTATTTTTAAGAAAATTTTGCAGCTTTTGGTTATTATCTTGAATATTATTATAGATAGAGATAAACTGTAAACAGCAATAATGTACAGCAAAGTAAGATCTACAAATAAGTCAACATGACCAAAATTGTCAATTGACCCCTTAAGGAGTTATTGCCCTTTATAATCAATTTTTTACAATTTTCATAAATTTTGTAAATTTTTGTAAATTTTTACAAAATATTTTCCACTGTAACTACTGGGCCAAGTTCATTATAGATAGAGATAATTGTAAGCAGCAATAATGTTCAGTAAAGTAAAATCTTCAAACATCACCATCACCAAAACACAATTTTGTCATGAATCCATCTGTGTCCTTTGTTTAATATGCACATAGACCAAGAGGAGCGACACAGGCTCTTTAGAGCCTCTAGTTCTTATTTAGATCTGTTTGAAATACTGTATTCAGAAATTATTGCAATGTTGTTTATTAATCTAAAAAATGTGGCAGTATCAGGTTTTCAATAATGATAACTCGCATTTATAATTTCAGTGGTAATTTTCCTTCATAAAAAATTAGCAATCACATTAATAAGATTTTACAATTTTGCCAGTGGTCAAGGATTCACAATAATAAATACACACATTGAATTCTGAATTTACAGTACTGTAGGATATATTGACAATTGGAACCTTATATTTTTAGATTACAAAATTAATCCAAACACCATTCACAGAAGATTTGTATGTTAAGATTAACATAGTTTATAGAATCAGATTAATCAATAAAAGACATTCAATGTCAACTATAGAATATTTCAGCAACTTAAAAATAGATCATTCAAGAAATGTAATGTTCATTTACAGAATAACGTATCAGTAAATCTGTCAATAAAGATAAATAATACCAATAACAGAATATTCCATCAGTTAATTGATCATTAAATGAATTTTATGTTGATATACGAAATAAATCAGTAAAATGATCATTAAATAAAAGTTCTTTTAATAGACCAAATACTCCCAACTGGTAGGTACATGTATACACATTTGACTAATTTATACATTATTTTTTATTTATTGTACAAGTATGTTGATCATTTTTCCAGGTTGTGTCAAATGTAATGTTTAGTATGTGCTAACTGCTATTTATTGATATCTGTGATATTAAAATTAAACTTAAACAAATTACTTGTTTGCAGTGTACTTCTTTTAGTATGTTTATTTAGTTTTAAAAGGCAATTGCAATCACTTGATGTTTATTAGCTACTATCTGTTGTCCTTTATAGTTTTCAAATTCTTTTTTCCCCCTGGAATAACTAAGCCACTTTGGACTAAACATGACCTGCATCATTCTAAGGGAGTTTAGATGCTATATTTAATCCTTAGGAGGTCTGTTCAAAGGTTATATCGTATTTACATCATTCACGTATAGTTATGACCATATGTTTATACTCATATGGTTCGAGTATATACTCGTTTGGTTATTAACAGGCTGGACCATATGTAAAATTGTATGAATAGGAGCATGAACACATTAAATGATTAAAAATAATCTGAAATATTTATGAAAATTTTAATTTACGTCCAAAAATCTTAGCACCAAAATAAAGAATAAAAAGAGGGTTCAAGGCCCATAGTGCCTGTGAAAAAAACCTGCTGACTTCTTGTTAAACGGGTCAGTTAGATATTTCTTGAAGTTATTTTCTAAAGTCGAAGTTGACGTATTGTGTTTTGTAAGGAAAAATAGATAATGACCATGTCAAAATGCTTTTACTATAATTTTAACGTGTGAGTAAAATGTTTATTTCATTAATCATGTAACAATGATTACCATATGATTAAATAAGTTAAAATTTTGTGTTAAAAAAAATCTTAATTTATGATTACCTCCTTTATTGTTCTTCACTCACTTCAGAAGTTTTAAATTGTTGAGATGATAGCTTCTGAATAAGTATGTTTATGGAGAAGTCTGAATAGGTATGTTTGTGGAGAAGTCTGAATAGGTATTTTTTTGGAGAAGTCTGAATAGGTATGTTTGTAGAGAAGTCTGAATATGTATGTTTATGGAGAAGTCTAAATAGGTATGTTTATGGAGAAGTCTGAATAGGTATGTTTATGGAGAAGTCTGAATAGGTATGTTTATGGAGAAGTCTGAATAGGTATGTTTATGGAGAAGTTTGAATAGGCATGTTTGTGGAGAAGTCTGAATAGTTATTTTTTTGGAGAAGTCTGAATAGGTATAATGGTGGAGAAGTCTGAATAGGTATTTTTTGGAGAAGTCTGAATAGGTATGTTTATGGAGAAGTCTGAATAGGTATGTTTGTGAAGAAGTCTGAATATGTATGTTTATGGAGAAGTCTGAATATGTATGTTTATGGAGAAGTCTGAATATGTATGTTTATGGAGAAGTCTGAATAGGTATGTTTTTGGAGAAGTCGGAATATGTATGTTTATGGAGAAGTCTGAATAGGTATGTTTGTGCAGAAGTCTGAATAGGTATGTTTGTGCAGAAGTCTGAATAGGTATGTTTGTGCAGAAGTCTGAATAGGTATGTTTGTGCAGAAGTCTGAATAGGTATGTTTTTTTAGAAGTTTGAATAGGTATGTTTGTGAAGAAGTCTGAATATGTATGTTTATGGAGAAGTCTGAATATGTATGTTTATGGAGAAGTCTGAATATGTATGTTTGTGGAGAAGTCTGAATAGGTATGTTTGTGCAGAAGTCTGAATAGGTATGTTTGTGGAGGAGTCTGAATAGGTATGTTTGTGGAGAAGTCTGAATAGGTATGTTTTGGAGAAGGATGTATCAAATAACATTGATTAAAACTGAAATATATTTGGGTCTAATCAATGAGACAAATCATGACATCACAAAAATATTGATCTACATCTAAGGATAGGGGTGTCTATGGAGTATGTCAAGCTGTTTAAAAAAAAAGTTATGAATAAATTGAATGGAGACTATTAAAGATCTGCCAAAATCAACAAATCTAAAGAGGAAAAACATAAGGATATTACTAAAAATTACAATCAATCAAGTTGTACAAGATTGAAATGAGAGAGCTGAAATCTGAAAAGGCTCATTTAGTCCCTCTACAGGAACCTAGGCGGTAGTATTCATATGTCATTTCTTGATGTGTTAGTTTTTTTGATAATTTGGTGTTGAAATTGGGACATCTGGATGTCTTGTACTGATTTTAATGTATGATTTGTTGGTCCAATGATCGAGATTAAAAATTTGGAAGGGTTGATAGTAAATTATGTTTTAACCCTCTTTGACAGTTTTTTGTGTCGCTTGACGGAGTCAAAAAGCGAGACATAGGTATGCTGTTTCTGGCTTAGGTGACGCTACTGCGGCGGCGGCAACAATGTATAAGTTTGTGATTAGGTCTAGTTTGTGGTGAACCACAAGTTGTAGGTCAATCATATTTGGTATACAGTTGTATTAGCATTGGCACATTTCATTTCCATGGAGATTATTTGGCCCTGCCCCCTCAGTCATGGTCTATTGACTTTGAAACTTTTGCTTATTTTACATGTATTAGTTTGTGATTAGGTCAGTTTATGGGGAACCATTAGTGGTAGGTCAATGATATTTGGTATACAGTTGTATTAGCATTGGCACATCTCATTTCCATGGAGATTATTTGACTCAGCCCCCTTAGTCATGGTCTATTGACTTTGAAAAATTTATATAGTTAACATGTATTAGTTTGTGATTAGGTCAGTTCAATGGGAACCATTAGTGGTAGGCCAATGTTAATTGGTATTCAGTTGTATAAGCATTAGCACATCTCATTTCAATGGAGAATATTTGGCCCCATCCCCTCAGTCATGGCCTATTGACTTTGAAACTTTTGCTTAGTTTACATGTATTAGTTTGTGATCAGTTTAAGATGAACTGCTTATGTTAAGTCAATGATATTTGGTATGCCAATTTATTGACATTTGTAAGTATCGTTTCCATGGAGATTATATAGCTCCACCCCCTCTTCATGGTTCATTGACTTTGAAACTTTTACATAGTTTACAAGTTAATGTTTGTGTTTAGGTTTGTTTAAAGGGAACAACTTATAATAAGTCAATGATATTTGGTATACAGTTGTATTAGCATTGGCGCATCTCATTTACATGGAGATGGTTTAGCCATGTACCTCAGTCATGGTTCATTGACTTTGAATATAAGCCTTGTTAAGTATTGCCATTTTGATTTCAACATTTGCATAATCAAAATTACAAAAAAGCGAGACATATCTCTGTGATAACAGTTTATGTTTAATATTTGTGCAATAAGTTATCTTTTGGTTATTGGTGACATAAGGTTACTGTCTCAATGACGGTTATTGGTGTCATAAGGTTACAGTCTCAATGACGGTTATTGGTGACATAAGGTTACTGTCTCAATGACGGTTATTGGTGACATAAGGTTACTGTCTCAATGACGGTTATTGGTGTCATAAGGTTACAGTCTCAATGACGGTTCTTGGTGACATAAGTTTACTGTCTCAATGACGGTTCTTAGGGTCATAAGGTTACAGTCTCAATGACGGTTATTGGTGTCATAAGGTTACAGTCTCAATGACGGTTATTGGTGTCATAAGGTTAATGTCTCAATGCCGGTATTGGTGACATGTTACTGTCTCAATGACGGTTATTGGTGACATAAGGTTACTGTCTCAATGACGGTTCTTGGTGACGTAAGTTTACTGTCTCAATGACGGTTCTTAGTGTCATAAGGTTACAGTCTCAATGACGGTTATTGGTGTCATAAGGTTAATGTCTCAATGACGGTTATTGGTGACATAAGGTTACTGTCTCAATGACGGTTATTGGTGACATAAGGTTACTGTGTAACACAATTGTGTTCCATACGTTAATCATCAGGAAGTAACTAAATACAGCAAATCCGAAACGATTACATGTAACCTTTAGACACTTAATAACAATCTGTACGAATATTATAGACATATACCCTGCAGCCAATAAATGACCATGTCTACTGTGAAATAACATGTATCCGTCAGGGATTAATTGCATAGTTTGACAATTAACCACAGACTAGTATTACTCCACAACCAGACTACTACGTAACCGGCCTACAGCTATGGACCGTTTGTATGGACCACTGAACTATATAAGATCCAGCTTTGGACTCGAACGGCAGATAGATTCTTACAGATAGGATTCAGACAGGAGATTCCGCCAAGGTCTCCCCCCTTGTGGGTAGGCTGGAATTAATTCACTAACCATCCGAATTACTCAGTCAGGACCGAACAGTTATACCACTATACGATCACGTGTCCGTGTGACGATATGAACATTCGAACAATTCAACTTTAAAGACAGTTTGTGAACAATCGAACATTTGAACTTTAGAAACAGTCTTAACTTTGTAATTACATAATAAAATTATTTAATCAACCACTGACTTCATTACATAAGTCAAATTGGTGCCGTTTAGACCAGGATCGACTTGGATTGGCTAAAACAACGCAAAGGAATATAAAACGTAAGAACTAAGTTACTTTCATTTTTTTCTTTATGGACAATCAAGATATTTTTTTTTTAAGTTTGAAGAAGCTAGTTTTTCGTTTAGAGTAAATATGTAATAAAAAAAAAGTAAAATGTCTGATACTATAGCATTTTTCGTATTTATGGTTTTTGATCATATATATTATGGGTTGTTTTCTTGAAGATACATTCAATTATTCTAGAAAATATATATCTTACGTAAAATTAGTAGAGCACCGGTATATATGAAGGTTGATTTAGAACCTTTGGTAGATGAAGTTAAGGGTGCATTGTGGTTCACATGTTTGCGATGTTATAGCCATTGAAGATTATGGTTTACGCAGTTGGGTAGTGTGTATGCACGTTTGTTTAGAGAAAACAAATAGTCTATAATTTTAGATTCCAACCCCTTCTTCGGATGATTAACATAAGTGATGTTAAGTAATTAAATGGTGCAAGTTGTTTTATGGTGTTAGATTACGCCTTATTTACATAAAATAAATGTTAATAGATAAAGAGAAGTATCTTCAGAAAATAGCACATTAAAGATAAATGTTGATATGTTTTGCCCTAAGGGATTTACAGTATTTTTGTGGTAGATCGATATTTGTAAAAAAATGAGAGACATATGAACTTCATGACTAATGACAAAATCTAAGTGAAAAATATAATTGATATT